AAGCTGTCTACCTTTTCGAGCATCCGTTCAGCAGGCGCCTCGTCCGGCCCAAATGGGGGGGGGGGGGGGGGGGGGGCACAGACCGGATGGGGGGGGGACGCATTAGTCCTTGCGGTCGGCAGGGTTAACCAACCACCAACGTACCGGAACCGAGTACACGGCAGTAGGTGCGACATTGATAAAAAGCCTGCTCGCGTGAACAAAAATCCAACCTACCTGGAACGTGTAAAAATCATAAGTGATGCCCTGGTTGTCCTCCAGCACCAGCGTGGCCACGTCGTTAACGCCCATGTTGAGCGAGTGGTGCGGATGCACGCCGCCGCCCTCGCCTCCCCCGCCCGCCTCTCCCTCCTGACCCTCCCCGTCCCCCTCAGGCACACTAAGTGCGACCTCCGTCTTCCCGGGAGGCTCGACGTCCTCCGCAAGCCTTCGGCTTCGCGCGGGACTGTCATGGTTGCACGGACACGCCTTCCCGGGTGAACATTTGTTGCGGCAGCGGCCACTCCTAGCGTCCGGCGGGCGCTTCGGCGGCCTCACGAGACGTGCCGCCACTATCTCGAAGCTGTAGGATACCTGTCAGCGGGGGTGGTTGGCGAGAGGGTTGCGTTGTTGTTTCTTCGCGAGCTCTCGGCGGGGAGAGGTAGCACGGAGCACAGTAGGAAAAGCTCTTCTTGGACCCCGGCCAGTGAACACGTGAGTGTAAGAGGGTATGGGTGTGGTTCGTCCAGCTCCGCGGCAGCAACGAAGGAAGACAGAAAGATGGCAAAAGAGTCGACAACGGACGCATCCCGAGGGGGATCAAGGATGCACAAAAACCACAGACCCCACGAAAATTCCAAGAAATTAGCCAGGTGCTCTTTTCCTCAAAGACTCCCCTTACTCTCTCCCAAGAACCTTACACACGAGGGGGGACCAAGGATGCACAAAAAGACTGAAAAAGAACATTCCAAGAAATTGGCCAGTGCTCCTTTCCCCTTACGTCTCCGAAGAACCTTACACACGAGGGGGGACCAAGGACGTACAAAAAAAACGACAAGAGAACGTTCCAACAAGGTTTCGGCGGCCAGTGCTCTTTCTCTCGAGACAGACTCCTTACCTCCCCGAAGAACCTTAGATCGAGCGCCGTTCTGGTTGGGCGCACCACAAGGCTGCAGTCGATGTCCTCAACGTGGAGCCCCTTGGCAGCCTCGAGTTCGTTGTCGGGCATAATGGCGTGCCTCGTGCAGTACAGCGATGACTTGAGGATGGCACGCCAGGGTTAAAAAGGTTGAGAAGGGGGGCGGAGGAAGAGCGGCAACAAACGTGCAGTTCGGCGATGATTCGAGAGAGGAAAAGCGGCAACAAGAAAGTATCGGACTTGGTGAAGTCTGTCCTTAGCTCCTTGAGCTGAGAAACCAGTCATGCCAGGCCAGATCAAAAACACCCGCCACTGCTGACGGTTGACACTCGCTACAGCAAGATGCAAACGTGCACAATTAAGCCCACGAACTACAAACCGTGGTGCTAGCTGCTGAGAGACTGCGTTCCCATTGGTGAGCTATTTTACATGGCGCGGGCGTTTCTAGTTCGAGACACCCAAATAAACACGTTCTATTGCCGCTCTCTCCGACGTTTCTCACGAAACTCTCGTTCACGATCTCTAAGCTTCACAGAAATAGCTGTTCGCGACACCGTCTGATGCAGGCGGCGCGAGCACGCAATCGGGAAATCCCAAAGGCTGCAAATCCGTCAAGCCCACAGCGGGTGCCGATCAAAAACGACACCTCCTGTTTGAGTGCTTGTATGCATAGAAACCACGTTCGTTCACAGGAGCGCATGCATTGAAACCACGTTTGTTCATTGTCCATGCATACAGGCCACCTCTTCGTTCATAGTCTATGCATATGCATCGCAACCACGTTTGTTTGTTGATCGTCGTCCATGCATGGAGACCACATCTGTTGGTTGAAAGAAAAGTCCACACATACCTTGGGATGTCTCGCATCGAGCAAGTAGAAGAGAAGGGTTAGAAGGAAGCAGCCCACGACCGCCCGCAGGACCTCGTGCCGTCTTTGCCGCACCACCACCTTTTCGTGTTGGATTAGAGAGAAAAAGAGAGAGAGAGAGAGAGAGAGAGAGAGAGAGAGAGAGAGAGAGAGAGAGAGAGAGAGAGAGAGGGAGAGAGAGAGGGAGTTGTCATTCTGTGAACACCGCCTACAGCACAAGTGATCTATTCAGCGCAGGATGCATCTCACTACCGTGTGGAGCAAGGAACGGTCCCTCAGCAGTGCCGGCACGTATGATACGTGCCCGCCAGATTCACCTTACGGCCGTTGTTACGTTTTTACAGCAGCTACTTCTACAGCAGAAATATTTCGCTTCCAAACTTCCAAATTTCCAAACTTGCAGACCGTTGAACCTCGATTTGCGGCCGAAGGCAGAAAATGAAAATTTAGAAAAAATGGTGACTACTGGCACCGAAAAAAATGGAATTTTTTCAATTTTGTTGGGAAAAAATAAAAAAATGGAAAGTCGGAATTTGGAAATTTGGAAAAATTGGAAGAAAAGCGCCATACATACGCAGTTATAGCTATAAAACGCCCCTTACCAGACACCAGTTCTGCTGCAAAAGGTGGCCATGAATACAGCTTACACCGGCACCACTGGAGCAGAGTTGAAGTACAGATTCGAAAACTTCATAACCGGACCCACCCGGGCCCATCAGGTGACTGAGGTCAGGTAGTTACACGGTCCAAAAGAGTTGTCACAAAACATGAAAACCAAGTAAGCATTGAAATGATCCTGTGTTGTTGCTGTGTCTGGGTCAAGTATGGTGGTGCAAACGGCGAAGTAACTCATCCGCATAACTGGTTCTAATTATGCCCATGTCTGCGAGTGACATGTACGCAACATTTTTGCACAAGTGGAAACTTCTTCAGTGGTTACACGCCACTGCCAGTTTTAAGCAAGAATGCTACGCATGTATGCGCAGTGCGAAGGTGCACCGATTCTGGTAAAAGTCAACGGACGGGTACCCTGCGAATCGGGCCCAACCTCAAACACGCCCAAAAAAAACTAGGCGCACCGCCGCAGTGTATGTAGTCGGTACGCTCTTTATGGGTACAAAAATGTTTGATGAATGCGTACCACATGTGCGACTTGAAACAAGCGATCGGCGACATACAGCAGTACCAACGGCCCTCCTCTTGGTGCGGCCATGTCGCTCTCATGTGTTTGCAAGGAGCGGCAACCACAATTCAGGCAAGGGCTTGTAGCGAACCTCCAACCCAGAGATCGCTGAAATGTGGCACCCGGCACCCGGAAGGAAAATGTTCTGCTATTGCACTCCCCGCCTTGCCCCGCAAATCCCCCTAGAGTCTTTTCTATTCACCAGCTGCGCACACGGTACGCACACGGTACGGTACGCATACAACACTATGACGTCGTGTAGGGGTACAGTAGCAGCGCGGGTACGTCTGTTGGGCGCGCGTGTGTTTGTGGGTAGCTGAAAATGAACTCATGTGGCCTGAACCGGCACTACTGAGGGGTCCAGCGTATCTAAACCGGACGTAAATAGATCAGCCCGCGCTACTGCTGTACCAGCACTTGTCAGTGCCGAGCGAGTTCACCGGTATTTTAGTCATGACGCCGGGCAGTGTGGTACGCACTGCTGTTCGATAGGCACTCTACCGCTGCAATTCGTATGGTTCATGTGTGTGTGCGTTCGTCCCATCTATTCTGGCGCCGGTGTACAGGCCTTTCGGCGTATATATGTGGTATTTATTTATTTTCTCCCATCATTGGACTCTGTCGTCTGCACCTCTGGCCCCTGTCCTCCACTTCTACCAGCTAGACGACCCAACCGGGGTCACATAGGAGGGGGGGGGTTGGACCCTCTCCTGCGGTTCCTGCCTGAGATATTTTGATGGCGAGAAGGGTACAGCAATCCCTTCCCTCGCGAATTGTGAAGTCGATCAAGTTTACTAACAACGCACTTGCAGCGCGTAGCTTCCAACGGAGGCCAGGATTAAATTAGCGAGAAAAAACTCACTCTGTCGGGACTCGAACCCATGACCTGGCCCTTAGCAGGCTGCGAGGTTACCCACTATACCACCGGGGCGACCGGTTATGTCGGTCGTGTATACCTGCCGGTCGCCCCGGTGGTCTAGTTGGTAGCCTCGTAACCTTCTAGAGGTCAGGTTAGGAGTTCGAATCCCGGCGTAAGCGAGCTTTTCTTGCAAAGTGAGTTTTTCTCTCGCTTCCGCTCCTGGCCTAGTGGATAGCGCTAGTTCGTGTGTACACAGAGGGAAGAGAGTGCTGAACTCTTCTCGCATTAAAAATCGAAGGCAAAGTACCGCAGGAGGGGAGGGTAGAGAGGGGCCCTTCTGTGTGACCACGGGTAGGAGTAAACGGCACTATAATAGTGCTGTGAGCCCTGATTTGAAGTGAAGACAAAAAAAAAAAAAAAACTACCTGACGTGCCGGGTCACACAAGAGGAACGTCACACAGACAAGAGGAAGGTCACACAGGAGACTAACTTCTTGTTTGTTTTATTGCCCCGCCTTTCCCCTTCGGTGCTTGCCTTGGGTTAGGGTTAGCCATCCCTTTCCCTCGTCCACTGTGGAGCCGAAGTTAAGTGTGTTTACACGACCTATGGATCGCTTTCCACCTACAGGGTTGCTGGAAATAAATCTCGGGAATAAACTCCTCCGCGGAGAGAATCGACCCCACAACCTGCCGCTACGGAGTGGATCGTGTAACGCGGAATACCAACAGGACTGGAGCCAAGCTTTCAATCGGTCACCAACCGATTGTGCTGTACATACAGGGGGTGGTTGGGTACACCGCGCATGCACTCTGTAGATATAAAATAAATAATAGGTCGTCATAGGCGAGGGGCAAAGTCAGTTATGTCAACCTCTACTGCTGCTGTGGAGATGTGGAGACTAAGAAACTACATTATGTCTTCATGGTGTTGCACACCACATGGTTGTTGCTTTTGTTCTAATCTCCGCATGAAAAGATGAAAAGCCGGTCTCAGCTGCCCAGTACCTTCTGCTCGTACTCCTGGTGTGGAACCGCTACCGCCTACACTGCCTGCTGACTACTTAAGGAGCCTGCCTGCTCTATTTTAATTAAGGAATAACAAAAACCTCGCCCTCTGAACCGCCTGCTGCGGTTGTGTGGAAAATTTACTGCGGAAATCAATCAAGACGAAAAGTGGTCATCAGTCACCCGTTACAACTGCTGTACTGCTGTACACACATACAGCAGTAGACTGTTGTGTGGAACTTTGGAAGCACCTAACGCTTGTACTGCTGTAGTAGTGCTTCTAGCGCCGTGGGGGTGTGTCCCTGTTACAGCAGTGCACTCGGAACTCGTTTCCAAGAGTCTTAAGGAATAATAAAAACACACACAGAAAGACTACCCATTCGAGTGATTCCCACAGTTTCCAAGAGTCTGCAATAGGTCTCGGGAACATGTGTGCCGAAAATCCAACCAAACATTTTAGCGCTGCCTTGCGGCTGATGTTGAGCACATCCATGGCACCACATGGTTCGAGATCAGCAGAGTCAATCTACTTGCCTTACGCTTTGTCTTCTCCAGGACTTCCATGGCAAAGCGTTGGGGGGCGGGCTGGGAAAGAGTCGGGGAGCGAGCGAGCGAGTGCGAGCTCCAGAGAGGCCAGAGAGACCCGGGACGGGAGAAAGAGGAGCAGGCAAAGAGTGTCTCTCGCCGCTCTTTCACGAAATTTCCGGTACGCTTCCACAAACCACGGATTCACGGTTATACCGAATCAATCCTTCGTAAAGAGTGCCGAGCATAACGCCTCCTCCCATTATTTCGTTCAGCGGGTGTGCTGTTGCCCATGCTTTTTTTGTTTGGCTTAGCGGCCGCACACACCTTGCCAACCTGCCATGGCGAAGAAGAAGGGCGGTGCTGCGAAAGGGGCGGCCAAGCAGGAGGCAAAGGAGCTGAAGAAGAAGAAGCAAGAAGAAAAGGCATCGAAGGCGGCTAAGAAGAAAAGCGGCAAGGTATGTAGTTAATTACAACCGCCTTTCAGCACGCTAACATGTACAAGTATGGAGGAGGGTACGGGGTGAGTGTTTCGCTACCATGGTCGATGCAAGCCGTCATGGCGTGGTTTGACTTCTATGGCCCCGGCGTGTTTCTGCTGTGGGATGATCGGCCAATGACCCAAGCCCCTGTCCTGTTGACTACGTCTCTCAGCAAGGGCCATGACTCGCTCCCCGAACCCCCACACAAACACGAGGGATGCACTTGATTGAATGAATGTTAATTAACAGTCCCGCCAGCTTGGTACGCTAGAGCTGGTAGAGCAAGGGCATTACATACCACACGTGCATAGTTGGACAAGCTACAAGTACCAGCCTCGGCTGAGGTGAACACCATAAAGGAGAGCGCCCGTGAGAAAGGCATGTATTTTTCAAGTCGCTACTCAGCAGGTAATCTACAGTAGTAGGGTTCTTCCACCTGTTCCTCAGAGACATCCAAGCGGATACACTTGCATGCTGACAGCTGACATACACCTTCCAGACAATCTCCCGCTCATACATACATATGAAGCTGGCACAATTCAAGCATAGCTTGACTTGCGCACGTGGGGCAAAAGTAGAACGTTAGCCTATTTTATGGTAGAGACTATGCATGTCGCACAGCGCTCGGCACTGAGGCTCGACACTAGCTCTTCAGATGTTCCGTTTCCGAAAGGGTCAATCGTACTGCCGAAAGCTGCAGGTAAGGTGGTTGTGTGAACAGATGACTACCGGTTAAAGAAAACCTTTACAATATTTGTATATTTTTGTGGGGATAATGTGCTTGCTCGAAATGCTGTCTTCTAACACTGTACGAATAGTTGCACATGAACAGCTACCTGGGCACATGCGGCGGGATATGCTACAACGACACAAGCGAGGGCACGGGTTCTTATGATTTATCTGGACGCCTTTGAACTAGTTTTGTGGCTGTAGCCTGCATTAAAGTTATGCTCAATCATGTTGCCCCCGTCTGCTGTTGCCGTCATTATACCCCGTCAACACCCCGCCCAGGACGCTCGCGAGGCCGGCGAGGATGACATCGAGGCGATTCTGGCCGACATTCTCCAAAAGGAGGCCAAGCAAACCGCGGTCAGTATAGTACATTACTTCTTGCAACCACCGACGTTTGCTCATTCGGAGTTCCACCCCGCAGGCCTTATTCACGGTGCACTTTAAAAGCCCCGGGCGTGGTCTTGAGAGATGTTCGATGCGCGTTTTTCTTTTTTGAGTTTGTGAGCATGAAACATGTTAGTAGGGGCTCGATACGTCTTTGTCATGGTCGAGGATGCGTCAACGAAAAAAGGACGCGAGGTTGAGTGCACTACAGGCATATTGCCTTGCCTGTCTGTCCTACAGTCTAGAGGTGTCAGAGCGAAGAGCGGAAAGGGTAAATTACCGACGCAAATATTTTTCTGTGTGGGCTGGGGCTTGTGGTCGCGATCTCGCCCCACCTCCTCGGTCTGCGAGCGGTGGGACCCCAGGACTTCGTTGGGCCTAAAGCTCGTGACCAGCGTGTGGGCACATAGACGTCCGTCAAGTCCTCGTATATTCCGGCCGTAAAAGCGTATACCGATCGTGTGGCCTCCGATGATGGGTTCTGAGAGGGTTCAAAGCAGGTCGATCGCCCAGATTACGGCCGTAAGGCGTACCTTCAGTAGGGAGTCTGGCCATGTCGTAATTTGGGCGGTCGACCTGGTTTGAGTCCTCCCAAGGTCAGCCGTTGGAGGCGGGTCGGACGCACGACCGGGTGGCCTCCAACGGTGGATTCTGGGAGAACTCAAACCAGGTCGATCGCCGAAATTGCAGCATGGCTTAACTCCCTGCTGAAGGCATGCTCTCTACGGTCGGATTGTTCGAGGGCTTGACGAAGGTCGAGTGACTAGTCTCCGCGAGAGCCTCCCAGTGCGCCCGCCAGCCTTGTTCGTGAAGGCGCGAACCGCAAGCGTCTATACCACAACCGCATCGGCACTCTATGGCTGTATAAACGAAGTTCTTCCGCTCAGAAAACTCAACGAAACTCATACATTGTCGTGGCTCAGGTTGTTCGAATATTCCATTCCAGTACACATACTAAATTGTAGCAGACACTCGGACATTGTCGTAGCTCAGGTTGTTAGAATATTGAACACAAATGCACAATAGCCGAAATACTACCCATCCGAGGAAATGCCCCAATCGAAAGGGGTGTGTTGAAATCAGTGTTCCCCTTCCTTGTTACTCCTGTTCATGGAGACTCGAGGATCCCGTAGCTGTTTAAGGAGACTCGAAGATCCCGCTGCATTGATCTCCCCTCTCTCTCTGAGACGAGCTGTCACCTCCCCTCCACGGTCGCCTGTCTGAACGAGCGTATTTTCGAGAAATCATCAATGATGTCATCGTCTGAGACTAGGCGCTGTCGAATCGCATTTTTCTCGACGAACCTTATCATGAGTTTCGAGGCTTGGTCCTGATTCAGACAAAACTAGAGTGGTCTTTCTCTGTTCCCTTTGTTTTGGCTGTCCGTTTTGATTCACCCTTGGAGATGAATCGGTCACCCTCCGACTGTCCGTTTCGGGGTTGGTTTACCTCCCACCAGGTGACGGTAACGGTGTGCGATGGCCCGCCTTCTCCCAGGGCCAACTTCACGGTGACCTCCCTCCCCTCCGGCGACATGATCCTCTTCGGCGGGGAGTGCTTCGACGGCCAGGACACCAAGTGCTTCAAGGATCTCTTCCGGTGTGTGCTGCTGCTGCTGCTGCTGCTGCTGTAGACTTGTTTTGAGGCAGTACGTTATTGCTTGATCACATCCGCTCCGGCGTGCGTTGTCTCTGCTCTCTCTCGCGCACGCGGGACCGGGCTGATGACATGTTGTACCCGCGCGGTAATTTCCGTTTGGATCTTGCAGAAGTAGGCGGTAGATTGGATCTGGAAAGGACATCTGCCCCTTATCTTGTTTTATGCTAGTGTGGGCGCGCTGGGTGGAGAGTACTGGTTGGTTGCAGTCGACCAGGACCCGGCCGATTCAGACATTTGAGTGACCCAAACACAAATCGAACCTGCATGTTTCAAACAACAAAGGACTGGTGGCTAAGCTTTTGTTCCCCGGTTACTTGATTGTGAACCGTTGTTGGGGATTTTGGTAGCACCAAAAAGGCCGCTCAGGGTACAGCGACGAAGATGAGTGTTCCCAGTGCTCCTACAACACGGGTGTGTTCGTTCGTGTCAACGCCATGCGACGGTCTGTCGTCCGCGGGTCGGGTTGGGGGTTGACTTGCGAGCCCGGGTTCAAAGTCGGGGGTGGTTTTGTGGAGACCACCTTCCATCATAAAGGTACTATTCTACCATATCTCCAATGTGGAGACCACCTTCCTTCATAAAGGTACTATCTCCCCAACGTCCGTCGAGGACGATTCCCTCTATTCACAGTTTGGTTGATTAATTTGATGATTCGGTGGTAGATGTTGGATGAGACCTGGCGGGTTTGCAACGGTACTTTGGGTTGCAATTAAATGCCACACTTCTCCAGCAATGCTTGAAAGCGGCACCCCCTATGGCCACCTCACGCGGGCATGGTACTTGCTCATCCCTCTGTTGTTGTGACCGGGGGTTTGTATCTTAAGGAAACATAGGACATAATTACAAGTGGTCGTGATGTTGAACGACAACGAAAAGCGGACCATTATTGTGTTCTCATTTCAAACTGTAGGGCTTCCTTTTATGAAACCAAAGCCGGAACATTGGCTGATTAACGCCCGACAACAAATCGGGCCAACCATTGTACCAGAGTTTTCATTTAACTACAGGGCTTGCGTGTTTGTCAAAGCCTAGCTTGAAAGGTTGAGTGATTTACTCTAACCAAGAACGTCGTGTTTTTTTTGCCACAGGTGGAACGTCGAGAAGAACGAGTGGCGCCAGATCGAGTCGCCCAACACCCCGCCCCCCCGGTGCTCTCACCAAGCGGCGTATTTCAGAGATCACTTGTATGTGTTCGGCGGGGAGTTTGCCACGACGGACCAGTTCCGCCACTACAAGGACTTCTGGCGACTCAACGTCAAGGTAAAGGCCAGCTATTGTGTGTGTGTGGCGTGCTGGTTTATTCATTCTAGTGATCTGTTGTTGTTTTTGGCAAGACTTGGAAGAGGAATCGCACCTGCGCTACATTTACGCTGGGAGAAAATTTCTGTCTTGTGTTTGTCTCGGTCTTCTCTCGCCCTACAAGGTTAGCTGCTACATCCATCCTCTCGAAATCGAGACCACCTGTCCGCCTGCACTGCTGTGTCCGCGTTTTCATGTCCGCCGCCGCCGCCGCCGCCGCCGCCGCCGCCGCCGCTGCTGCTGTCGCACAGACGAACGCTTGGGAGCAGCTGGAGACGTCCGGCAAGTCCCCCTCAGTGAGAAGCGGCCACCGCATGGTGGTTTGGCGCAACCAGCTCGTCCTTTTCGGAGGGTTTCACGAGGCGTCTCGCGTTACGAGTTGGTTCAACGACCTCTACATCATGGGTTTCCAGGACCTCAAGTGAGCCGGTTCTCGGGTTGGTGGGATGGATCGCTGTGTAGTGGTCTGGGTCGTTTGGGTGGGATGGGCCGTTGTGTAGTGGTCTGGGGCGTCTTGTACCTCCAGGACCTCAAAAGTGGAGCGGTTCTCAGATTGGTGGGATGGAGTGGGTCCGGTTCGTTTTGGCGATATGCTTAAACCACAACGAACCCATCCCTATCCACAAAAGAAGAGTCCGGGATAAAATATCAATGAATCCATACATAGCGTTAGCGGAAGCACTGCCTGTGTTTAATGTGTTGCATCTTTTTCAAGAGACTTGAATGGAACTCGGTCCAGTTGGTTGGCTTGGTTCGATCTGGCGCGGATTTATGAGACTTCGCCTAATGGTGCCCGGTAGTGCCACGCTCCTCGTGCTGCGCAGCAGAGGGCAGGCATATCACAGCAAGACCCCGAGTCGGGGGCGCGGGCTGAATTGATTGCCACGATAATAAGAATCTGGCAGATAGCTACAGATTTACGTTTCTTGACACGTTTTGAAGGGGATTTGAGGCACTCCTTTGCTCTGCGTGTGTGCCGTGCGGTGTGTGATGCGAGATCAAGCTTGTCGTTGAGTTGCTAGTTGCGCCGCGCCTTCCGTCCTCCCCCCCGGTTGTTTTTTTGCACACGCAGGTGGCGGCGGATAGAGTTCCCCGCCACGGCTACGATACCTGCCCCAAGGAGCGGGCACCAGATGGCGGTGTACGCACCGGGGGAACAAATATTCCTGTACGGGGGGTATTCGAAGGTCAGTCTGGTGTTGTCTTCTGTCGTGCTGTATCGTTTTGATGGCCATCATCTGTTGTCTTGGCCAGTGTGGTCGCATGTCCTCCCCCCTCTCCGGGCCCGCAGCTCTACGTTCGTTTCCCATTCTGTCACCTTGCGAGTGATAAAAATCAACTGAGACTGAGACTAGCCTTGCGAGTGGTAATAATCATATCACCACCTTTAATCCTACCGCCTCCTGACCCCTCCCCTTACCACAGGAGAAGGAGCCTGGGCAGAAGAAAGAGGGCAAGACTCACAACGACATGTGGGTTTTGAACATGAAGCCAGCCGTATCCGGGGGAAATCCGACATGGGACCGGGTGCGCCAATTTGTCTGTTTTTTCCTGAGAGAGCAATGGGGAGGGGGGGATGCTTCCTTGCTGGCTGCCTGTTTGATGTTTTGTCGTCTTGTGCGTTCCGTTCGAATTGGATTCGCGGTGATGAACTGGTTCGTTACAAACGAGAGAGAGGAACCGAAGAATATACGTCCTGAGAACGGCTGCAGTAGGCTACTGTAGGTGTTGAAAACGTGGGACGCAAGAGGGTGCTTGTCACGGGAGAGTACCAGCATGTAACAACATTTATGGCAGATCTGTGGTCAACGAAGCAACATCTCTAACAGCACCAATAACAACAAATTAAAACGCATTTTCTTGTGTCAGATCGGAAAGAAGGGGGCCCCGCCGTCGATCCGATCCGGAGCGGCGATGACGGTCCACAAGAACAGGGCCTTGCTCTTTGGAGGCGTTTTGGACCACGAGGGGCCGCAGCATGCCCTCAGGTGAACGTCCACATACAGTCCCCCAGAGTCTACCCGCTCCTGAGTTTATGAACTGCTGTGGGTTCGCTCCTAGTTTAGTGAAACCGTGGGTTTCCCTTTTGGCTCTTGCACAGTGAAGAGTTATGATTGGTGGGTTCACACATTTACACACCAGGGTGCAGTGTCCTCTGCGGTGCCCCCCCCCCCCCCTTTGACTTTGACGACCTACTGCTGTTTGCGGTGCTCGCATTGGTCATTGGCACGATGTATGGCCGTAGTAAGACAGCAGTGGATGGTATGTTAACGACGGGCATGAATGTAGCATGACGATCGATATCCGCAAGTGTTCATGCGGGGCGTTGGCCCATCTATTATAGAACCCAGGCCCCATGCGGCTGCGCAAATACTGCACGCTAGCTACAGTTTGTTTTGTGAGGCTTCTCGAAGTCATCGGCAGAATGAGTCTTGCCTCGGTGAGGTCACGTGAACGTGGCGTTTGTGTGAGTTGGGCGCATTTCTTGAAACAACTTGGAGAATTGTTTCCTGCTATGCGTGCAGCCGAAACGGCGTCCAATCGCGCGCGTGTTGTCGCCCGGTGCGATGAATCTAGCGATTATTTGTCTCTTTGTTCTCCTTTACTTAGTCGGATACCTCGCGTGCTTGCACCCCCCGAGCGAACGCCACCAGTGTCGGTTCGCAACGTCCTCCCGGTGTCGGTTTACAACGCCCTCGCAGTGCCTCACCACCCCTACCCTACCCTCAACGGTCTAACACCTAAGGCAAAAACATTAGTACACCCCCCCCCGCCGCCCCCCCCGGTGTTTGCCATCGGGGTTGGGTTTTGGTCGCTTGGCAGCGATGTTGTAAAACAAGCCGATCACTTCGTGAGCTCGGCAACCAGGTTACCGGGTTATTTTTGCCTTTTTTTTTTTACGGTAACCATAAATGGTGGTCGGGCAGATTATGTTGTGCGGGGTCGAGAACCCTCACTCCGCGCAAGGGGGATAATCGCATCACGTTGTGTTAAATTAGTCAAGCACCCTCGAGGCAGTTACACAGTGCTGTAACTGTCTCTGGAAGTGAAAGCACCAGAAAATAAATTAAGTCATACGCAGCTGTCATCCGTACGCAAGGAAGTAAGCACAAGATGCCGAACACCATTACAAGTAGCAGGATGCAGCGCGCCCTTCATGCGACTCGCCCAATACCTCACGGCGCTTCGCGCTTGGTGATGTGAGAGCCTGGTCCGGTGAGAACCCGGCATGCTCCGTCCCGTTTTTGGATGGATGCGAGGTCAATGGTCTAACGACTACGGCATGCACGACTATGAGTACAACCCCTCCCCGCCGCCGCCGCCGCCGCAGTAGAGTTTTTACTTTTTGTCAAGGACCTCGTATCCCTTGGACTACACACTCGACTTAAAACACTTACGCCCCCCCCCCGTCAATGACAAAACAAGGTCGGTGTTCTACAACGACCTCTTCGCGTTCGATATGGAGCGGCGGCGTTGGTACCACCTAGCACTGAAGAAGGCAGGCAAGAAGAAGGTCAAGGAGAAGGGCAAGGGAAAGCATGGGACAGCAGGGTCTGAACAGGTTTGTTTGTGGTGCTAAATTGCGGCACAAAAGATCGGTTTCTCTTGTTGCTAAAGGTTTGTTTTTTCTTGATATTTTAGTCAGATGTTATTACCCCCCGTGACAACATTGTGCGCAATGTGGGAAACGAAGATCATTTGATTGACAGGAAGCATCGTTGCACGTTTTTGGACTTGTATTTCTAAGAGCTTTGGTATCCTCGTGAGTTTTATGAGGCTGAGACTACGTAGTCTAGTTTATCCTGTGAGATCGTTTGTTTGCCGTGACGAGTGAAGCGTAGCGAATTGAGGAGCCGGACAGACGTCAATGAGGAACAGTGACTATGAAGACGGAACAAGAACGCAAGCGCAAGCACGTGGAGGGGCCGTAACGCACGCACGTCTTCTTGAACGAATCCGCTGGTGCAAAGGAGTTCTGGACTTTTCTTTTTTTTAGCTTCGGTAAAGAGCACGAGGAGAGGACTGCGTTGTCTTCTTGAACGAATCCGCTGGTGCAAAGGAGTTCTGGACTTTTCTTTTTTTTTGGCTTTGGTAAAGAGCACGAGGAGAGGACTGCGTTGACATGAGGCATCGCTCACGCTGTGCCGAATAGCGTCACAAGATCACGCCGCCTCCACCCCCTTAGCGCAGCACCATCAACGATACGTTTTGTTTGTTCTCTCTAGTAGGGGCAAGCCGTCGAAGGTCAACACGTACGACCAGGCAGAGGGAGGGTTGCGTCGAGAGCAAGCATTCTCCATTGTTTGAGAAAAAACATGGAAAAATTCACAACCACGCCCCCGAAAACCACCAAGTGCTTTCGTAACGCCCCGCAAAACCATGAATTGTTTTCGTAACGCTCCTGTTTCCAGATTCAGGCGCAAAACGACGACCATCAGGAGGAGGAAGAAGAGGACTACATCGACAGCGATGACGAGCGGGAGGACGGCGAGAAAGCCCCGCACGAGAACGCGTTCGTGTACATCGACGAGTCCGGCAAGCTGGTCTACGTGGAGCCGGAGGAGGAGGAGGATGGGGAAGGCGACGCCAAGGGGACCGGAGTGGCGGCGAGTTTGGAGGAGAAAGAATCCGGTTTGGAGGAGGAGAAGGAGGTGGGGACAAGACAGCGCCAGGACTCTTGCGGTCTCGTTGTGGGCGGCGTAGATAGGGATGAGAGGGAACCCGAACCCCACACGCATCCAAGGAAACGTAGACCCCCCACCTGTCGTTGTGCGACGGTTGTTGTATGTCAGTTGTGAAGCACCCCTCGTGATACACGGGGAAGGGAATGTTTGTGGCCGACTCGGTTTGATTTTGCCGATCCCTTCCAACCCATTGGGAAGACAAAAAAAACAACAACCAACACACAAACATGTGTCATGTCACACGAGTTTGTCGTACACGAGCGGGTACGACTGCTGCTGCAGCGAAGCAGAAAGGCTCAAAAGGTTTGTGGATGTCGTGAACATACTGTTCTGCTTATGCAGGGTCAATCGCTCTGGTTTGTTTCTTTGTCGCTCCACGCAGTAGCTAATTTTAATCGCTCTTTTTCGTTTTTTTTTCGCTCCACCCTGTTTCTATTTTTTTCCTTGTTTTGCCAGGAGACGAAGGACGAGAAGGGTCACGCTGTCGCGGAGGAAGCACCTTCGGCCACTACGGCAAGCGACACATGTTCATCCCAGCAAGCTCACGGCGGATTGGAAGAGAAGCAGGACGACAAAGTAAGAGGGGATGGTGTCGCCCCATCCCCTGCTGTCGATGCTGCCGACATTCACGTCCAGCTCCAAGTCCAATCGGGTTCGACGGCAGATTCGGTGCCGGATGCCGGGAAGGACGAAGGAGGGGATGCGGAAGAAGCGTCCCCGTGTCCATTGCCCCGCATTAATCCCTGCCTCACCGTGCGGGGTAACACTCTCTACGTCTACGGCGGGCTGCTCGAGGTACCATACTACCGTAGGGGGGGGGGGGGAGTAGTATATTACATTACCGTAGATGACATGACGGAAGATATCACACCCCCGTGGACCGATTTTCAAAGCTCGAGTACTCCACGACGAAGATGATCCGTAAACGAAACGGTCTCTACGTTTTCGGTTAGCTCTCGACGAGGCGGCTTCAACGCCGCCGTTTTCGGGGATGCCACTATTTCTGCGGTGGAGAAGTTGAGCTTTGAATATAGGTCCAGGGGGTGTGATATCTTGTGTCACCTATGGTAGTCGTGCCGACGTTGGTTGCGTTCAGACAGAGACCGGAGTTGTTCGTAGTTTTATGCGCTCAAGCTAAGCTGAGCTGCATCATGGGCTGCTCGTTGTTTTGTTCATGGCGCACGTTCTGAGGGTTTGTGGAGGGACAAGGGAGTTTCGTATATAGCCGGGACTGCCTCTCCGTTTCTTTCAAAAAGTGCTGCCGCCTGTCAAGAATGCCTCACGACTGCTGTAAATATTCAAATGTTCATTGTGGTACCTCTCTCGGTCTTTTTTTTTCTTCTTCAATGTCCAGGTTGGTGACCGCGAGTTCACGCTGGACGACTGCTGGAGCCTGGAGCTCAACACGCGTGTGGCTTGGAAACGGGTCCAGGAGGGCACGATGGACGAGCAAATGTGGAAGGGGGAAGAGGACGAGTCGGAGATGGGGTCAGAGTGGGGAGAAGAGGAATCAGACTCTGATTACTCCGATGACGATGATGATGACGGGGGGGAGGAGGTGAGGGGCTGGTTTGTTGCCTTCGGTTTGTACGGATTGACTGCCTACGCAAAGAAAGTTTTAGTTCGAAAGATTAATCAGGCAGGGGGCACGCAGACCGTAACCCCAACCCTAACCCCAACTTAGCCGACATTATGATTGCTAGCTTGGAAAAACCTGCGTAGACTGCTGGGTTGTACGGAAGGCTTGCGTGAGAGATGCCTTAGCCTCTGAGTCGGTGCTCGAAGGTCAGTGCCGTAGCACGTGGTGGGAGCCACGCGGTTTGTAGAGAGGGATAATTTTCGCCACGCATCTTCCGTAGCCACAAAGGGACCCGCTGCTGAAGCCGTGGTGCGGACGCTCACATGATGAGCCAGTTCAGCGTCTCTCTCGCACCCGACATTTTCGATCTACTAAATAGGTCGCTCGTGTACCGCGACTGGTGTGCTCATCGCTTTCGGTTCTTGCAGTCTGTTGGCGGTGTCGGTTTTGCCCGGTACTGTGATCAAGGAGACCCTGAAATACTGTCTTGAGGTACTGATCGAGCACCCGTATCACGCCCCCCCCCTTCAAAGAGTGTAGTTAGCCGAATGTCTGTGGTCATGTGTCTGTTGACGGTTGTTGACCCGTGTAGGCGGGAAGCAAGCAGAATGTTTTGTCGGGGGGGGGGGGGTCGGGGAAAAAGAGAAAGCCATGAGGACATGTACTACCCAGCTCACTATGACACCCCCTGCAAAAAGCAGACCCGGCTGATGTAGACAGCTAGTTTCAAAAGCTGAGCTCTCTCTCCCCCACCCCCGGCCGCTCATGCGAGCTTTTTGAACATGTTGGTGAAGCGGATTTGAGGCAATCTCTGTTGGAGGCAATCTCTGTCTTCCCACTGTTCTTCTCCTGTACCAGTACTGCTGTACTGTAGCCCAAAGAATAGTAGTACTGGGTTCTTCCAATTTGAGGTTGGAATCAGCGTACTAGACGCTTTAGTTCGACTTTTGACGTTTCATGATTACTCATTACGTGTGGTTAGTGGGACGTTTGGTTGGTGGGTGCAAGTTTGATTGATTGTGGGCGTGAGCGACGATCCCAAATGGACCCTCCTTCCAGAGTTCCCGGTTACCGTATACCCGTGGGACAACATGGTGCTTCGTATATACCAAGGATTTTATACTACCCCAACTCGGATCCACACGAGATCAACCCCCGAACTTGAGCGACAGCATTTATTTTCTTTTCGCCCGGCGTGACTGTTGTAGTTGCCTTGCGTTTGTTGTTGGTGGTGGTGCCGTTGTCATGATCCGGTTTTCGAAGGGGCACCGCCAAAACTCAAGCGTTTCCTCAGCCCGTCAGTCTGTCTGAAAGTTACCATTTTATGCATATGGTTTCGATTACATCTGTCTTACTGCTGACGATGTGATGGTTTCAATTCTTGTTGCTGATGGTTTGATAACTTCAATTATATCTATCTGTGTTGCTAATGATCTGATTTCTTCAATTATGTTTTTTACTGTGGTGGCGATGATTGGATGGTTCTCGATAATATCATCTATGTTGCTGATGACTTTTCGTGGTATTTCGGCACTGCTGTGGTACACAACAGGACCGCGTCAAACCGGTGTCGGCCGGCATGAGCTGCATGACCCTGGATGGGGGCGACGCGGTTGAAAACGACGGTGCCGCAAAGAAGACTGCCAAGACCGAAAAAGGTGATGTGATGAAGACATGCGACCTTCATTTGTACCTTTTTTTGTCATTGTTGTTGCTGTACGTCTAATTTCGTCATGCTGCCGGGTACACGCACGTACACAAGTCACGCGCCTGGCCTTCTCCCTGCTACATTTTCTGGGTGCTGGCAAGGTTTCCTGTTGCAAACCAGCTTGCGAACTCTGCTTAGCCATCTTTTGCTCCCCACGAGACCCACCCACGCTTTGATGATTCCTCGCTCTGCCGCGGAAGAAATTCGAACATGAACGCAAGCGGTGTTCTCGCTGTTGATTGGCTGTCGAAAACCGGCTCTTGCCCGACTGCTGACTGGGCTTGATGTCTCTCTCGGCTTAAGCCCTCGTCTGTGCCACGACTTCGAGGTGGCGCATTCCAGGAGTTAGAGTAGTGAGTGTGGTGTTTTTCAGGGTTTCGCGATTGTGTACCTATCGTTCACGTCCATGCGCAACGGCAGTTTCGCAAACAAAAGACACGCCTCCTTCAGGCACCGTTGTCCTTTTGACGTTTCGTGTTCCACGGCCCAGCCGTCCATCCATTCCGCCCTGCTGCATCTCATGTCTTGTTGGGCCGCTTTATCGCCGTGCCTCTTCCTTTGCCTGGTCGACGATATCGATCATAACTCGACCATGACTTGGATTTTATCGACGATATCGATTGCAACTTGACCATGACGTGGGTTTTATCGACGATATCGATTGCAACTTGACCATGACGTGGGTTTTATCGACGATATTGATCGCAACTCGACCATGACGGGGACTGTTTTGACAATATCGATCGCAACTCGACCATGACGTCGATATTTTATCACGGCCTTGATGATGACACCGCAGCCAAGAAGAGCAAGGGAGGCAAGAGGGGGAAGCACGGGGGTGTGCGAGAGGAGATCAGACAGCTGCAGGAGCTGCTTGACGTTGATGACCCCAACAGGACCCCCCAGGTGACCGGCCATCAGTATTAGTCAACTTGCCCACCAACCTGGGAGGGGGTTAAGAAATCAGGCTCAGAGAGATCAATTTAAGAACTTCACCTGTAAGAACAGGTGTTGAGGTAAGAATTCTACGCTAGAAACCAATATACGCCCCGGAGAAAACGGAAACGAGCCTTCCACATACAGCGTTTGTTCAAAAAAAGTGGTGCCGCGTAAGCTTTTTGTTTGTGCTGTTGTGGTCACTTCCTTGTTTCGCTCTGCTCTCGTGTGTACTACCAAGCAGAAGTATTTGGTAACCTGAGTTCTCGTCCGCTCTTGTTAAGGAGGGGCACGATCCCGGGGGTTAAACAGAAGAAAGTCTTCCTTCCCCTCTCCGCTCTCATCGCGTGGTTCAGTAGTAGCTCCCTCAATGCAGCGCCTTTTTTTGTTGTGTGCTGATCCTACAGGTAGGTTTGAAAAAGTCACAGGAGTAGTCGATGTAATGATCCTGATGAATTGAAGAACTTCAAAGAGGGAAAATGAAAAAATATGTGTTGGGGAGGGGATGCCTGGATGGTGTGTATCCCCGGGAACGTCCTGTGTTGTCTCTTGGAAGTACAAATCCGATCGTCGAGCGAAGGCAGGAAGTTCCATGCACGACGCGCTCTGAACCCGTTCCACAAGATTCTAGTCACGACTATTGCTGTAGTTATGTTTCTTTTTCTCACTCGGTGACGGTGTTTGTGTGAGAATTACCACAGCCAAGCAACGGACTACCGTAATGACACAAGATAACACACCCCCTGGACCGATTTTCTGATACCGATTTCTCGACAGCAGAAAGAGTCACAGCGCGGAAAACGGTGGCGTTGAAGCTGTCTCGTCGAGAGATTTCCCAAAATGTATTGTTTCATTTATGCACCCTCTTCGTCGTGGCGTAATCGAGCTTTGAAAATTGGTCCAGGGGGTGTGTTATCTTGTGTCATATACGGTATTCTCCTGCTCTCGGTGGGTATAATTGTTCCTGCTTTTTTGTTGAATCGTGTTATGCCTCCCATTTTTTTATGCGTGGAATCGACAGGCCGGCGAGGTGATGCGCGATTTCTTCGATCGCACGAAATTGTTCTGGACAACCGAGATCGTGCGAAGAAGAGACGAGTCCGAGGTGCCCTTGGAAGCCATGACTGAGAAGGTATACTAATTGTGATGTGACATGTCCTCCAATAACCCACAAAAGAACCCTCCAAAATAATCCTCCAAAACTCCCAATAATATTCAATTGAACAAGACTGCTTTATATAGCGTTATTTTTTGTCGTCTTTGGTAATTGCTTTTTTAGTTTTAGTCGAATCCTGGGTGTTTGTGGTTTTCAGTTGTGATGACTTGTTTTTTTTAGTTGATGTGATGATTCCTTTTTGGTGGTTGGATTTGTGTATGCATACTTGTTCGCGGGTGGTGTGGTGTGGTGTGGAAATTATCGAAGTTTGTCACACACACACACATGTATTTGGTCTTCATGCATCAACCCCGTTTTGTATTGGCACGCTTTCCTCCGAGACTACCGTGTTAGTCGGAGAGTCGGCAAGGATCGGAGGGTTAGAACTAATCGGAGAGTTAGCATCCGAGTTCTTCAAAAACGATCGCACTGCCGACTCTCCGAGTATTTAACCGACTACCGAAACAGATCTTGTCAGATAGGCAAGTGGTTCTCTGTCCTGTCATATGTTTCAATGTTTCCGTCGGTACCAAACAAGCGGTGCCCTGTGCAGCAGCAAGTAGTTCCAGCCATGCGACTTTCATTGTTTGATGAATTTTTCGGGTGGATGCATTCGTTCCACAGGGGCTCAGACGAGACGCCTTCGCGCTCGCGGGGGAAAGGTACGCTGAGCTCGAACCGTCGCTGGCACGCCTCAACGCTCTCGAGGCGGAGCAGCGGGGGTTGGAGGCACGGGAGGCGGAGAAGAGGAGGGAAAAGAAGGCCTCCGGTCCTCGTTCGAGTCGAAGATGATGCCTGCACGTATAGTGTTGTTGGGGGCCATAATCACGGAATGTTGTGTCGTGTCGAGGTCACATGAGTGCCTTCATCGATCGTTGTGTGGCAGGAGAATGGTCGGTCCGTGGTAGACGGACCTGTCCCTGTATGCAGCGAAGAACTGGATGAACAGCGAATTATTTGGCGCGGGGGATCCATGTGCGTGTGGGGGGGGGGGCGTAACCAGTGTGTGTTGCAGCTGTCGAGCAGAGGGGAAAATTCGTTTGCAGGTTGAACTTCGTCTCTGGCCTGCCTTCCTGTCTTGTCTGACTGAGCGATGAAAGCCGAAAACATCCTCCAAGCGTTCGTTCTGCTTGCCACCGAATCATCACAGAGGAGCCAGCCCGGAGATCACCGTGCACCTGCGTTGAGTTTGTTGCGGGAAGAAAACATTTTTGTGGTCATGGATGTGGAACACTCCTCCCCATCCTTGATGGTGGCAACAACATGAATGCCATCCGAAGTTCATGCTCCCGCCTCAGGTTGCAACAATCATTAACGGTGCCTGCGTACATATCTATTCTGAAGATAGGCTTCAGTTTCTGTCAGCGAAAGTCTCAAAACCTATATTCGATTTTGACCCCCAGGTTCTATGCCCCAGAAATTTGACCCCAGTTAGGCGGCATTTCCGTTTTTCACTTGGTTTTAGAGTTGGCGATCTCCGGTTTCTTCCCTTCGAGCATTCTTGGTCGATGGTCCTCGAGGTTGCAAAAACAATTTTTTGAGTGAGTTCGAAGACGTGTTCCTCCTGCCCCCGTCCGCCCATCCTGCAAGTTTGGTGCCAAAGCTTCTGTCCGTTTTCGAGAAACTCGTCTCTCCTTCGATGTCATAATTGCTCACTTGCCGCACTCCATTGAGTCCAATGCGTGCACAAGGGGCCGGAAACTTGTGCAGCTACATGACTCCCGAAAACCAGTGTAGTACTTTTGTGAGAATGCAGATTAGGTTGCAGACAGCTAACTGCTGATCGCCAGCGCAACAAGGGACGGGCGCTGTTTCTTCTCGGTCATGCACTGGGGCCGCCTGTCGCCTGTCGCACGCATCTTACAGTGCCGATGACAGATTGCAGACAGCAGACCACTGGGCACCCTACGACGTATAGGTATATGACTCAAACTACACAGATCAGAGGCCTTCTCAGACACTTGCAATAGCAGTGAGTGCAGGCATCATAGACATCGCTGCCGCACACACTGGACGCACAATATCTAACAAAAACAAAGGTTTTGGCGGCTTACACCGCCACGCTTGAGTGAAGCGAGTCACAAGACGAATTGGTAAGTGGCGGTGTGTCCATCGCCGCAGAAGAGAGAGAGAGAGAGAGAGAGAGAGAGAGAGAGAGAGAGAGAGAGAGAGAGAAATCTTTGCACCATACTTCCTTCACCGCTCACGGCAGCTGCGGTGAAGTGTTTCAGAAAGAGTCATTGCGAAGCATGGAGTGCGGAGTGCGGATAAGAAGTGTCGGCAATACGAAATACATGTACGGTACGTCTCATGTCGAGAGCACTGAAAAGCGGACGTGGAGTCCACGAACTCGCCCGTGTGCGCTGCTTACCGTCCGCATTGTTTGCTCTTGTTTGTTGGTGGTGGGCAGGCGAGCGTTGGCTGTGGGCTTGCTTGGGAAAATACTAAATAAAGACATACATTTGACATATATACATGCATGCACGCATACAAAACAGGAGCTCGGACAAACATTGTGTACTCCGTGCGTGATGGGTGTGGAACGACGCATAGTTTGCGAGATGTATGCATGGATGTCTCGACGCAGCGCGCGAGAGAGCCAGACCTTGCTTGGCTGTGCAGGACAGGAGGAGAAGAACTTCCTTGGAGATATTGGACGGACCCACACTGAAAATGCAATACAGGGAGCCACGCATGTATGTATTAGAACAAGCATGTAGGATGCCGTGTTTTGCTCTGTGTGAAAGCACAGCGTGCAGTGTGCACACCCCAAAGGAACGAAGCTAGTGTGAGCGTAGAGCGGCTGTGGAGGGAGCGTCTGCGCGGGGCACGAAAGGGGGAGAGCACAGAAAGCTGTGGCAACAAAAGGAGAGAGAATCGGAAACATACATGGCTACAAACCGTTCGAGAAGAGCAAGGTTGCATCCCCATCCATCCACCCGCCCTTGGTTTATCCGACAGCTCTTTGGCTCGCGTCTTCCCTCGGCGCCGTCAACGCACTCGCTTCAGGAAATCTGGAAGCTCTCCAGGCTATTGTGATCCTGCATGGCCAAGGGACCGTAGTCAAAGTCCGCGTGCACGTCGGCGATGATGATGCCCCCGTCGGCAGGGTTAAGAGCAAGACTGCCGCCGCCGGTGTTGATCGCCACGATCTTGAGCGGCCCGGGCTCGTCGGCCCAGACGTAAGGGTTGTCGTCATTGAAGATCTTGGTGATGGAGATCTGGGTTGGCGACAAGACCTGGGGGAGGGGGCGGGGGGGGGGGCAGAGACCATTGGCTTGGCAATGGATTCCGATGTTTTCCACGCTCACACAGCGGACGTGTTTTTGGCTTTAAGAGCCCAGCGAGAACCTCAAAGAACCCGCAATAAGCAGTCAAAAATCAATAATACAGCTGCGGCAAAGATAGGCCACTGAAAAGAAAATCCGATTTGACGATCGATCAGAATGTTTTTGGCTTGTCCCGACCATGAGAAGTACATGATGAATGGTTCAAGAGAAAACCGGATTGAAGACCGTGCTGTTGGCTTGTCCCAACCCTCTAATAAAAGACAGGCCTCTGGCATGTTTGTCTCTTTGAATACCAGTTGATTTTTATACTGTACCTTCTGGTGGATGGCGACGCCCTCCTGCAGAGGGGGGTTGAAGTACAACGTCGTGGCCTTCGTGTTGAAGTTTGTTCCGTTGATGAACAGCCTGTTCAATGGACCAATCAAAGCGAAAAAAAGGTTCACGTCACTGCTGAAAGTCTGCATGTCCATGCGACCAATGTTGTTCAGACAATGTGCAGCCAAAACACGACATTTTTCAATATCGTGCGCTACTGCTGTACAGGGTTGTTGTCGGTCAAGTGCTGCAGCAAAAAAAATACGATGGTTGAGGTCGTTGTGCCCTTGGTGTGCTGAATACACCCCCGGTCATCTGGGCGAGGCCAGTGGATCGATGCTTCTTGGCCGACTTTACGACTCACGTGGGGGTGGTCTGCATGTAGATCTTCGTAGAGGAGGCCTCTACGGTAGGGGAGGGAACAATGGTGGCGATCTGCACGTATGCAACACAAGCAAAACAATAAAAAACGAAAATGGGAGGGGGGGGGGGGGGTCGACGGAGTGGGGAACAGGCCGTATTACCATGAATATTGATAAGCGTGAAGTGTTGAGAGGGGTCAAGAACCTGCTTCTTCTCAGCGCACAGCTGGATGCCTAGTGGCGATCCCAGTTGCGAAAGGGAGAAGAGTGTCGGAGGGTGTCTAGCTTGGCAAGAACATGTGGTGCACCAATCAGAATGCCGACCAGCCCCGCCATCATACCAACAATAGCCCCGTCATCATGCCAGCATTCCCAAGCCATGTACTACGAGGGAAAGGGACGGCTGCACCCTTCTCCCTGCTCGCGATAAAAACTACAATAGGGTAAGTACGTCAGGAGGAGGAGAAACGCACCTGCAACGCGTAGCCGAGCAGGGAAAGGTCGCCAACCTTGACGGAGGTGAGGTAGAGTCCGGTGGGAGACTCGATATGATAGCGGGACAACCACCTTACAGGATTCAAGACAGGATACAGGAAACGCAGCAAAGGTCTTGATACAGATATCTAGCGCCCACACTCAACTTCATGCTCAACATTGTATGAGGCTTGAGCACCGTTTGTCAGCCCGGTCGGGTCGTCGATATCGCATGATGAATCGTCTTTGTACGTACATACAGATAGCTAGCGCCCACGCTTGAAGAACGTGGCAGCTAAGAATGTCCATGCTCGACATTGTAGGGAACATGGGCACCGTTTGTCAGCCCTGTCGACACCGCATGAGTCAGTCGTGTATGTGATACAGATAGCTAGCGCCAACACTTTGGAAAAACTTGGAAGGTACGAACTTCAAGCTTAGTACATTAAACAAAACTTGAATCAGCTCATTTAAGAACCCCTACACTAACTAACACCCATATAGTATAGCGGGCATTTGTAGCCCACAAGAGGAACTGCAGAACGCGCCACCACTTGAGAACCTCTCATTATCTTGGCCGAAGCTCGTTTCTTGTTTTGTCTATGGGGTATAGTAGAATACCCCCACGGCGACTATATAGGTTTTAGCGCAGGCTTCTCGATTGAGCACCTGTGATTAAGCCCAAGTTCTTACATTAGTCTATCTTTAGGCTCAAGTTCTTAACTGCTAAATTCTGAAGTCGATTCTTTTTTCGCGATGCTCCGTCCTCTAGAGGACGCGTGGTCAATGGTCTAACCGCTCACGCATGCAAAACATAAGAGTACGCCCCCCCCCGCTCTCTCCCGGCCAGCCAGCAAGTACAGATATCATCTTCCAGCCTAGTAGAAAAAAAAAAAATACAAAGGAAATTTTCCCCCGAAAAAAAGGAAACATCTTGCTCAAAATTAGATACCTGCACGTGGTGGCGCATTCTGTACTGTAAAAACCCTAGCATCGTCCAAAGCTATAGGCGGCTAAGAACATCATTCATTCACTCTCAACACTTTATCGAACACAAGAACTTTGAGGACCATCTGTGACCTACACTAATAGCAGCCATTGGTAGCCCACGTGAGGAAAAACAAGAACCCCAGCCTCGGCTCAAGCTAAGACCTTCTTGACGTGCGGGGGCTATCTGTAGAGTGGATAAAAAGCGGCCCACGCGGGATGGAAGAAAAACAGAGTCGCGTGTGCGGTATAACTATAGAAACATGCGCACCGATGCCACCCTATCTGTGCGGAGGAGAGCACCTTTCACGAAGACGTAAGAAATCAAATTGAGGTGCTGACTTTGTAGTCTAATGAATGGGTTATTCATACGCAAAATATACTTCTATGTTTTAGAGCCCTTGGCCTCCCAACTGTGACGACAGCAGTATCTCCTGGGCAGACTGGGATTTTTTTTTTTGCCTATACTTCACACAGAAGAGTTCCTCTCCCTGAGGCCCCCTACCCACCCCTCCTGCGGTACTTTGCGTTTGTTTGTGTACACACGAACTACTAGCGCTTTCCACCCAGGCCAGGAACGGAAGCGAGAGAAAAAGTCACTTTGCAAGAAAAGCTCGCTTACGCCGGGATTCAAACCCCTGACTGACCCTGGCCGCTAAATAGAAGGTCTCCCAGGATACGAACTAGACTACCGGGGCGAACGGTCTGGCCAAGTAATAAAAAACCTTTTTGGGCCCATAAATCATGTTGTCATCGGGTGTAGTACCATTGTGTGGGGGGTACTATCCTCCATCGTATAAGGTAGGCAGCAATAACATGTATGCATATGTGCATAATGCATACCCAAAACTGCTATCGCAAGCTTGGAAGAATTGTCACAACCAACACATAGACTACACACAAACAAACGACGACACCAAGCGGACCCCTGATATTAATAGTCCCCAGAAGCAATAGTCCCCAGAAGCAATGACTGTCAGGAGGGGATATGGTCGCTATTCAGGGCAGGCCAGTGCCGGCATACCGTAGAGTCGGGGTGCAGCAGCAGCAGTGGTGCCATATCATTTCATGATCGCTATACAGCAGCACGTATTGTACTCAATAAAGAAGTGGGTGTGTAAATTACTGAACTTACTTCTTGCCAGGCTGTAGGCTGAGCACCATGACGGTGGAGCTCTGGACGTCCACCTTGTAGTCCTGGCCCTCCGTCATTCTCGGCGCGAAGGACAGCTTGAGGGAGGCGGCGTCGAGCTCATCGAACCCGCTGCCTGCGATGCGCACCTTAGGAGCCATGTCGTACACCTGAGCAATTCTCTCCTCGAAGGTTACCTACTCGAAGGGCCATCATCAGGCAGCGAGGGAGCGGCGGCATGATGATACATTCCTACAGCAGTAGCAGTAGTGTCTACGATGAGAGACATGGTTGGGACAAGCCCGAAATCCCTCTCGCAAAATCCGGTTTGCTCCTATTTGGTACGAAGTGTACGTATTTCTCATGATTGGGGACAAGCCAAAAACACTCTCCTAGATCCGTTTTTCTCTTGAGTCTCTCATAAACCGCAGCCGCTACTGATGTAAGCGTTGTGCTGTGCTGCTCGCAGAACAAAGTTGTGCCAGTTCACTGCTGCTGTGGTACACTCGATCGAGGATTATGCCGCCTTGTGTCCACTGCCTTGGGCCCATAGAGGGGCAGACCACGCGCACACACAAACACCAGCGTCCGACGTGGACATCCGAAAAACACTACCAGGTATGCAAATTACTTGCTGTCGTTTTGTCCAACTATCTATATAAGAGACAATTGTGCATGCTGGCCACGGCTTCGGCATGTACAACAGAGAGGAAATTACATAGGCACACACACAACCATGGCAGGACAAATCAGTAGCCTTTTCATCGGAGAGTCGTACGGTATATAGTCGTACGGAGAAGAGAGCAACAGAGGTACACGAGAGCAGCTAGCTCTAGAGCACCTCTGCGTGATATGTGGCCCTCGCGTGTTTTCGTTGTTTTTTTGCTTCTGGCGGCAGGGGGGGGTGGTGTGCTGCGTGCGGGCAACCTTGTGTGTTTTGGATTTTGGAGAGCGAGAAAAAGAGAGGGCGGAGAGAAAAAACAAAACACCACACCATTTGCTTCTTCTCTGCTGCTCATCGAACACGCACGCGATCCCCCAACAGGTGGCTTCCCCGGTGTTGCAGGGTTGGGGCCTACTGCTGCAGCGATGGGGGGCATCCTTCCTGCTACAAGCTCCACCGCAGCTGGGCCCAGCGGTGTTTTTTTCAATACCTCCCCTACTGCTGCAAGCGGGTCGATGTTGTCGGCAAAAGCTGGCAAAAAAACGACCTCTACAACAACGAACCAAACTCATCCACCCCGGAAAATTGCGCAAACCGGAAAGCATGCAAAGGATCGATTAAACGGGAGAGGGGCTCCTCGTCGACCGCCCTCCGGCGCACATGTTTGGGTGCCCTGTGTGGTTCTGGAGCCCCCGTCCGCGTTTTTGGTCTTCTTTCGTTGGGTGTGTCATCGTCTCGATATACATATTGTTTCCGGTGAACGTGACGGGTGGGAAGAAGGTGTGATTCTGTGCGCTCGGCGCTCCTCTCTTCATCGCTGACCCAATCCCCCCCCGCCTCTCTCTCTCGCCCAAAGCCGGCCCCTACCGGACGCCACTAGCTGCTGCTGTCACCTCTCTACACTTTTGTGCAAGAGTTTAGTGTGCGACCTGTGCTTTCCCTGCAAATCTGGTCACCCATCACACGGCTTTTAGAGATGCCTCTCAGAGAACGAATAAATTCGGGCTGACTGAGGCAGGGGGGGGGGTTGCACTCATAGTCGTGCATGCCGTAGTCGTTAGGCCATTGAGCTCGCATCCCTACAAAGCCGGGACGGAGCACGCCGGGTTCTCACCGGACCAGGCTCTCACATCACCAAGCGCGAAGCACCGGGAGGTATTCGGCGAGTCGCATGAAGGGTGCGCTGCATCCTGCTCTGGTAGTTGCACTTCCAGAGACAGAAATAAGCACTGTGTATGTAAGTAACTGCCTCGAGGGTGCTTGACCAATTTAACACAACGTGGTGCGATTATCCCCCTTGCGGGGAGTGAGGGTTCTCGACCCTGCACAACGTAATCTACTCGACCACCATTCATGGTTACCGCAAAAAAAAAAGACGTAAAAAAAAAGTGGTAACCTAGTTGCCGAGCTCACGAAGTGATCGGCTTGTTTTACATACAACGTTGTTGCCAAGCGACGAAACCCCAACCCCGATGGCAAACACCGAGGGGCCGACGGGGGGGGAGGGGTGCTGACAGAATCAGGGGGCGTTTTTTTTTTAGCTAACTGATGGCCACCCCGCTCTCTGGGAATCACCGGCACCCCCCAGAACTCAAAACGCACGAGCATACCCCCTTCAAAGGTCAGTCTATCTAGTAATGAGCCGCGGAGCGCGAAGCGCGACACTTTTTCCTTCATCCCCAGAAGGGACAAAAAAGGCTCTCGATATCGGGCTCTTCCAACCAATGGGCCCTTCCGCAATTTCCGCCTAATTACGGTACGTCAACATATTTTCATATTTTGCCTTTGCTTTGTTAGACCAGAACGAGGTCTATAGAGCCCCGATTTACGATCTGCTGGCTTGTGATGAGGAACACTCTCTGTCACACCGGTTTGGGCGCGCTCTGACAACAGATGTCCGTGCTTGACACGCATCTGTCCCCAAAATCATACAGGATATCTTGACCCCTTTCCCCGGGGAGTAGTAGAGGCTCTAACGCAAGATAGACTCATGTATTGCAAGGCATTGAGTAGGCTGTAACGCAAGATACTCATGTTGTACTGCAAGGCATTGAGTCGTCACCCGCGGTAGGTAAGGAATGATATAATAAAGAAGCACCCCCAAAAATCCCGGAGATCCCGGAGAGACGGAAATAGAGCCCTGTGAGAAGCCGAGAGACCCGCAGGAGGGAGGGGGGGCGGGGGGGAGCCTTACAAGGCTTACGCAACAGAGGGAGGGCCTTCAAACGTCGAGATAAATGGAGCGCTCTCAGCGCCCGACAGAATTTTCCAGCTGGAATTTTCCAGCGGGCTCCCAGTGAATCTTTAAAGCCATCTACAGTAGTAGCATTCGAGCGGACACAACCAAAACGCAAGCAGCACGCACCAGGGCGATGACACGTGCAAGAGCAAGATCACATGCTTCCTCCTCCCGGACTCACCGATGCCGACGCGATGCCTGCCACCGAAGAAGCTAGGAGAGCCGCTGGCAGTGTCCATATTCGGAGAACACCCATGTTTCGGTGTGTGCAGGAGGCTTGGGGATGTAAACCTCCCACCAGCACCCTCTTGGTTGCGCACGTGCGTCTCGTCCGGGTGGTGTTCAGCGCCGCTCCCAGCGTTATTTTGCCTCCGTGCCCTCTTCGCGCTACGTTAGCTCTGCTTCCTCTGCCTGCTGTCCTGTAGTTTGTTCCGCCTCAACAAGCAATGTCATGAACAAATATCACAGAAGGAACACAAAGAACAAGCACTTGTGTTAGGGGGGGGGTGGTAGGTGATGATTCCCAGCCCACAGCCCCCTCGCGTAGAAGCAAAGAGCTGGTGCACGTATGCATCACAAAAGTAGTGCAACTCAAGGTGGTGTGCGCAGCGCCCACACCCCAACCAAGGCAATGATGGAGTATCTAGCCGGCAGAAAAGTGGAGGTAGTGGTCGTGGGATCGGTCGCAATGCTGGCCTGGGTTGCCCTGAGCTACTACTGGTGGTGGCGATCATCGGAAGCGGCTCGCGTCAAGAACTTCGTAAGATCTCACTCCAGCAGCGACGGCAGCCTGCCGTCACCGATGCCCGCGCTCCCACGGTGGTGCGGCTTTATCGGAGGCCACACGCTGGTCATGCAGCCAGGAGAGGTGCGCACAGTCTGTAGTAGTAGTAGCGAACCCAGCAGCCAGTCATGTTAACGTGGTCGCTTGGTGGTGATGATGCGTGATGCGTGTGGCGAAAGACGTCATCACCCTGTGACAGACAGCGGTGTATTTTGTTGTGTTCAGCAGCATCATCCATGCGGAGTGTTCTTTTCGGCACAACCAGAGGCGTCGACTGCCCTGGCCGCTTCGCCGCGAAACAGATGCTTCCCCCCCCGCCCCTCCCCCGCCCGACCTATGTGAACCTCTCTCTCTCTCTGGATTCTTCCGGGGGGGGGTGGGGTAAGCTGTACAACCGGTTATTGAACGCTGGGAAAAGGGGAAAAAGTAAAGGCTTCTTTCTGTGCATAGCACAGATCAGATTGGTGTGACAGCAGTGGCCATGTCACAGATTTTCTGGGGCACGCACAGCACGACGAGGAACGAGGAACCGGCGAGGTTGTCGCTTTACGCTTTTCCGCGAGCGCCGCATGGTTAGGCCGCTCTCAAACATCCTTCCGGCGTAATCGTTGGCGTAGTTAGTTTGGCCACCTCTGATTGCTGCTTTTTCCTCTGCTAAGGGGTGTTTTTGCCGATTTGCCGTTCAATGTTTCTTTGCGGGTTACGGCACTATCTCACGGCCACCGCCACGCCGACGAACCAATCTCTGCATTATTCCTTGGGAACGACGAAAAAATCCAGAACCATCCGGTTGTTTGGCGGTTGCTGCGTTTTGGTCCGACCGTACGTATGCGTATTATGCACTACACACACATAGAACGGGCCCGCCGGAGATAAGAAACGTCAAAAGCGGGTCGAAGCTCAGTTATTCACCACTGCCGAGTGAGGTTCCTTTTACAGAGGTTACAAGTACCATAGTCTGTAGGATCCACCGCTGATGGCATGTGTATGCGAGGTACTTCCAAGCATATAGTTACATTAAGGAAAAATAAGTACACACACAGAAAGACTAATATATTACCCATTCGAGATTAGCCGCAGTCGAACGGGATGTGGTGGAGTCTTTTCAGTGAGTGGAGGAAAACCGGCTGGGTACTGGATTTATGTCGAGTCTTTTTAAGTCTATTTATCATGTTCCAATTTATTTACCAGGTGGAATAGACGCAGAATTCAGAATATTCAGGCGATTTTCTCGCAGCCAAACTATATCTGCCAGGGGTGGAAAATTGAAAATTGCCGCACATCCGAGATGCGCAAGAATCCCGCTCCGTTTCCCTACAAATATTTCTTTTTTGCCCCAGGCATTTCTCTCTGCACTATTTTCTGAATAATCGTTGAACGTGACTTATGAGATGTTTGCTTCAGAGGTGTACGCCCTAATTTGGTTAGTAGACGCTAATTCCACGTGCATGTACATGTATGGTATTCTAACGGCTGTAGATGCAGTTTTGGAAGATGAGCTGGTACAGCCCCCAATGGTTTCAATTGCTTGGTATCACCGCTCGTTTTCGGGCGTGTGGGACGTGGGTTCGAATCTCGGAGCAGTCACACGAAGCGAAAGGACTTGGAAACATAATTTGTATCCCCTGCCTTGCGTATTTTTTTTTCATTATTGTTGACATTCGATGTAATCGCCAGCGCAACTGTACCTACTACACGTCGCTGGACCCACCTAGGTTCAAACGTGGTTTGGAGGATGGTTAGACAGGGAGAATATAGCGAGAGATAGTAACCGCAGTCACTTCGTGAAGGCGTTTTGTTACACGCATGCACTCTTCCCTTAGGAAAAACCGTCTTATCACCATCCCTCGCAGTGTATACCCTGTCGTCTTGTCACCATCGCTCGCAGTGTGTACATACCCGTGCGGTCTTTCCTCTCAAAAGCTACGATCCGGGGTCACAAGGCAGAATTCCACTCTTATCTACGATGCTGCCACCCTTTGTCTGCGTATACAACATTTCGTACTCCTGCATCTAGACGATTTTTACGCGAGTAGGAGGGAAACACGTGAAATTCCGTGGTGGTGACGACAGGCCAAGAAACAAGGGTTGGGCTCCGTGTCTTGATGAGGCAGCTACGGCCAGGATGTTGCCGATCCAACCATGGCCGGGATTGAAGCGCGTGTTGCGTCATGCGATGCTCATGGTCGAGGGAAGGAAACAGGCTGCAGATGGAAGCGACGAACCATACATCACGAAGACAACGACTGCGACACACTTTTAGGGTTTTCCATCCAGGATACACATGTTGCGTTTTCTGGTTTGTGACACTCTCGACGGCGGTGCCCCCCCCCCCCGCCCTACACCTCCACGACGAACAGACCGTGTGGCAGCTGGAGGGGTGGGCGAAGGAGTTCGGAGGCGACTACGAGTTGTACCTGGCGGGCAACAAGGTCACCGTCGTCTCGGGCCTCTCCGACATCAGGCGGATCTTGACCCTCCGCCCCTCGAAGTTCAAGAGGGGTATCGTGACGAACCAGACCAAGTGGGCCTCTGAACAGGTCCGTTGGATCTTAAGGACTTCACAGTAGTGTCAGTGTGTGTGCGTTCGTCCCATCTATTCTGGCGCGGGTTTACAGGCCTTTCGTCGTATATACCTACCTGACGTATCAGCCGGGGTCACACAAGAGGAAGGTCACACAGGAGTTTTTCTCATTTTTGTTTTGTTGCCCCACGTTCCCCCCTGCGGTGCTTGCCTTAAGCTTTTATCGCGAGAAGGGTTGAGCCATCCCTTTCCCTCGTCGATCGTGAAGCCGAAGTGTGTTCACTCACGACCTGGATCGCCTTCAACTACAGCAGTAGACACAAGAATTCAATCACGGCTCTCACCATGTTTGATTCCTCGCGGACTAGTGTTTTTTGGCGAGGATGTCTAAGAGTAGATGCCCGCACTTACGTGTGGTATGTATTCCTGTCAAGCAAGTCCGTGCTGACAGATAAGGGCCCTTGTACTAGTAGTCGAGGAAGTAGTCTAAGCGCTCGCGTTGTCGCTAAGAACAGGAAATCGGAGGAGTCTCGGAACGAAACGCGGGTCAATTCATCCGAGCTACAAGAAACAGGCGACACGAAACAGGGGAATTTTGACGCTCCCCTGAGAGGCACAACAAGCAAGAACAATCAAGGTTTAGGTTCATAGCTGGGGTGTGTGTCGAATAGCAAATAAGACGCCTCCCATCAACTTGGTACTCTCTTCTTGATATTCCCTAGCCTCTCCACCACCCCGAGCGCATTTTGTTAATCCCGGCGTTTGTTTTCTGCGTAGTGTGGAGATATCGCGGAGCCCCCTTCATGCTGCACGAAGCTCGTACGTGACAGCGGTGCTGCTGCCTATTTGTTGTGGATTTGATGCCACTTCTTTTTCCATCTTCCCAATCCAGTGCTTTCGGCGGTTTAATTGGCCTTAAAAAAGAAGAGGTTTTCAGAGAAGAAAAACGTGTGTTGTGTTGTCAGCCTCGAACCCCGGCGTGTACGTGGCCTCTTCACCGCGAGACCCATTCATCTATCTGCATCGATACTGTTCGCACAGGTCGGGGTGCAGAGCAGCCTGTTCTTCGAGGAGGGGAAGACGTGGGGCCGCTCCCGGCGGCTGATCTCGCCCAACCTCAACGGGCACAACGTCGCGGCCATGCTGCCCATCATCGCCAAGGTCGGCGAGCGCTTCTGCGGCAAGCTGGGGGACAAGGCCGACGCGAGGGAGGTGGTGACCTCCAGGGACAGCTTCGCCCGCTTCACGCACGACATCGTCGCGCTGGCCGCCTTCGGCGTGGACGTGGGCGCCATAACCGCCACTGAGGAGGAGCCCTGCCCTTCCTTCGACGCGATCGAGCGCATCACGTCGGCCTTGATCAGTCTCATGGGAAAGCCCGCGGAAATGTGAGGAGAGCGCGCATGATTTTGCAGGGTTTATGATACAGGACACCCTTGGTTGTGTCCCCAAGAGGAGGGGGGGCGGGAACGATGGAGGCCTTAATGGCATTTTTTTTTTTACGAAGAACCGATACAGTTTGATTGCCTGGTTATTATCGCGACGCAGTTGGTCTGCACCGCGCCGGCTGCGGATCGAGAGGGTCCCGCAGAAAGGAATACCTTTTAAGCAAGGGGTACGTGGATGTCTTGAGCAAAATCCACGTTGCCCGGTCGGAGGCGCAAGGGGTAAAGAAGAAGGACTCGTGTATATATTTTGTACTGTCTGATTCGCTTTGTTGCCCGGCAATCGCCCACTGCTCTCATTCTTGAGAATCTGCCGAAGAAGGCACGTATTGCTACTTCTACATGATACGACACCCTTGTGCACCGTACTGATCTACTGCGCCCCCGCCCCCACCCCCGCTCCTGCCGCCCGCGATTTTCTTCTCCGCGAAAACTGTTCTTAATTTAGACTGAAGTGGAAGTACCTCCCCATGGTGCCGTGGGTACGCGAAACGAAGCAGCATTCCCGCCGCCTCGAGAACGTTATTCAGGTGACTTCGAAGATAGTGCTGCTGACATCACTACACTTTGCTGACGTCACTAGCCTTTTGCTTGCAGAACTAAGTACTACACGGGGAGACCTCTCGCTTGTACACGAAGGATTGTTTTTACCTGGCGCGTGTTGTGTTGATTTCGTTCTTTCTTCCCATGTTGCGCTGGCGCGTTGCCGATTTTTGGTGCGCCCCAGTTTTTTGTTGTGCTCTTTGCGCTAGTGCTAGTGTGTCAGTCTGTAGTATTTTGTTCGTTTTTTTGTTTTCAGCGAAACCCGCGTTGGCAGGAAGTTTACGCTTGTCCCCCTTGCGATCTTTCGTTTGTCACTCTGGGCCTCTTCAATGGTCACAGCGTTAGAATAATGTGTTCGATGCCGGTGTGACATCTGTCAATTTTCCTGCTTGTTGTGCTGCTGCTGCTTGTGCTGCTGCCAAAAGGGCGCCGTCAATGCAGTGCGAGCGGACGCTAAACTAGCCGACGCAAACCTAGGCGACTCGGCTGCCGAGGGCGATGTCGGCATCGGCGGAACTATGCTTCGCAAAATCGTGAGCACCTTTTCCTGTTGTAGTGCGATGGTTGGCACAACGCGCCGCCTGTTGCAAGGTCCAAGCGACTTTGCTGTGTGTCCGTACAAGTCTTTCCTCGCGACTTTTCCGCCCCGTTTCTTCCCGAAATACTACTGTGCCTTGGGCCCTGGCCCTGCAACACAACTCTTTTGTGTGACAACAGCGCTATATTATAGATTGTGCGGCACGTTCAGTTCAATCACAAGGGCGCCATGATGGGCGGGCTCAAGCCCAGCCGCGTAGTATCGGCTACCACGCGGTGGCGAGATTAGAGACAGAACGACTCAAAGAATGAGGGAACTGACCGGTTAATTTGGAGACCGGTTTAGCGCCTGTTGTTGTTTCTGCCGCCCCATGCTAATTCCAACACCATCATGATCTCCCCCAGACGTACATACTCCAAAGGGATATCTCTCCGAACCACCCCTGTACGTAGAGGTCTGTGTCTCAGCCTAGCCACGAGAGAGTGTCACGCAAGCCTGTCGGTTGCTCGTACAATCAACGACCCTTTAATGTTGTTTTTTTGTTTTTTTCGCTCCTTGTTGACTCGATGACCATAACTCGTCGCTTTTTTGTTGTTTTTCTGTGTGTGTGTATGTGTGTCTTTGCCTGTGCGCACGACGGATGATGGGCCGATGGATCGTGTGGCGCCACTCAGATCGGGGCAACTAACGGCTCCGCGAACAGCAGCGACCGCATGCTGTTCAACGAACGAGAGCTCATGCACCAGGCAAACGGGTGGGTGCCTTGAGAGGGACTGCTCCTGTTGCCCTGTCTTTCTCGCTCGCCGGACAGTAGAAGTATATGGGATGAGGGGGTTGCAAGATGTCTTGTACTGTAGGGATTCATGTTTTGCACTGTGTGAGAACAACGCCGCTGCTGGCTTTGACTTGCGGCATCGCGCGCACGGTGTCTTGTGGTAGGTTGTCTCCGTCGATTGTGCTACGTGTCGAAGTGCATTAATGTCGTACAGGCGCACGTGGAGTATCGAAAAGTGGATGTTGGGAATCGTACAGTAGCACACGACTTTTTACTACGCGGTCGGCAATGTTTCACAGAGCTGACGGGCACCTCGTCAAAAAAAAAAATTCCCCGTACGTAAGGATCTGACCTCGGCTCGACTTGTCGCCTATTGACGATTCGGAGTGAAGACTTCATGGCCATCTTCATGCGAATGCCCTCCTCTGGCTCTTGCTCCTTTGGTATGCAACAATCACACATGCGTTGTCCAGAAACTGCATGAGCTCCAAAAACTTCTTCAGGTCTTCACACAATCAAAGTGCTGTTACTGCTGTAGTCTCCCTTGCCTTATCAACAACACTGTAATAGCTCTCGCCTTCCTATCGATCCATCGCCACACCGTGAAGCCGAACTCGAAAGACAAGACACTTAGAGCGTCGTTTGTTTTAGCTGTTTCGTCACCCACGGTGGATTTCCTTAGTTAACTGAATTAGATCATTTGCAGACCTGCAAAAAATTAAATTATGACCTGCAAAATTAAGATTTTGGATTGTCATTTATGAAATGTTTTTTGATAAAATTGTTTTGCCCTTGAACGATGATTCGATTAACTGTGCGGCCGCATCATCAGGCTGTTCGTGGCTGCGACCGAGACGACAGCGCTTACCCTGTGCTGGTGCATGTACTATCTCACCAAGAACCCGAAGGCGGCTCTGCGTTGCCGCGCCGAGGCTCTCAAAGTGGCGCCGGAGAGGTGAGAACAATTTTCTTGCTCTGTACCATCATGTTTTTGGTGCGCTTGGTGCAGCTTTCTGTTGTTGTTGTTTTTGTTGTTATTAATGGGTTGCTGCTCCCTCCTCCTGCGGCGATAACAATTTTATTACCACGACTCGCCGACCTTATGGTGCCGAAAGGCTTCACCTCTTCCATCTTTCCCAAGTGTCCGGTTTGCCATCCCCATTGCTGCCGCTGTCTATTTATTCTGTGATACAACCTACCCTGCACCAGTGAGTAACTACCCCTAAGCCCTCGTACCAGCCTCGTATTTTCAATAAACGCCGATGACAAACGCCAAACAGCGCTCCTAATGTCAGCGCCATCCAGTTGTCGTCAGTCGTATGCATCGCAGCGTGCTCTGGTCGGTTACGTCACCTCCAACTCTAGCGAAAGTGTTAGCCCCCCACCCCTCCCCCCCCCTTTTTTAGCCACCTTCGGCGAAGTAAGAAATTAACGATTGGCCATCGGTGATCGGTCCTGTGGGAGCTACGCTCTCGAGGACGCGTGGTCAATGGTCTATAACCGCTAAGGCATGCAAAACATGAGTACCCCCCCCCAACGCGGAGAGCCTGGTCCGGTGAGAACCCGGCGTGCTCCGTCCCGGCTTTGTAGGGATGCGAGGTCAATGGTCTATAACCGCTAAGGCATGCAAAACATGAGTACCCCCCCCCAACCCGCGCGCGCGTTTTGAGCGACCTTCTTTGGAAAAGTAGGACGACATAGTTGACCATCGGTGATCGGTCCTGTGAGAACAACGCTCTCGAGGACGCGTGGTCAATGGTTAAACATGCAAAATATGAGCACGCCCCCCCACCCCCCCCACCGCCCCAAGTGACTTGACTAATGTGAGCAAGAAAAATTTCCCCTGCCTGCCTTCGTTTCCGGACGGCGGATTGACTGCCTGTTCGTCTTTGCGGATTGCTGATTGCTGTGGATTATTGTTGTGGTGGTTGAAAGCGATGGGATGGTGTCCACGGCAGAGCAGCTGAAGAGGCTCCGGTTCTGCGCCGCGGTGTTCAAGGAAGCGCTTCGGCTTAGGACGCCGGCACCCCGCTTGTCCTTCACCTGCACGGTGAGGGGAGAGAGAGAGCGTCCGGAGCTTACGTTTCGTAGCCGTGTTTCAGAAACGTGAGATAAAACTACGCAAGTGCCGCTTCGTGCTTGAAACCGCACGGTGAGGATGTCAAGAGCTGTGGGCTTGGCAGCTCCTCAGCAACGCAATGCGAAAAGGCAAAAAGCCCATCGATATTCCGCCAAGCAGGGACAGACCAGACTCTTCCATGGTAGTGTGTCAGGTATTGCTGGTGGAGTCGTAAAAGACTTGACTGCGTTACCTGCTGCAGTAGACCGCAGCGCGAAGAGGAAGAGGCCGGTGATCCTGCCTCGCGTTGCGGCGAGCCCCAAGTGGCGAGAGTTGGCGGTATCTTAATTTTCTACCGGTGTCTACACAGCACACAGCAGTCACGCTGTTGAGTTGCTGTTCTCGCCCCTCTGTACGCTGGTTTTGGTGATGTTAGGTGTTGATATCTTTCAGGAAAATTGTCGCCTTATTTACTCTCGTCTCACCCCTCTCACTCGTTGTTCTTCTCTTTACGGAGCTGAGCATTGTTCAGGTAAGTAAGAATTCAAACAACAGCGGTTGCCTTGGTGAATAGTGCGGTAGTGCGGTGTTTATATTTAGTACCCGCCGAGATGACGTCTCCTCGGTAAAACCTAATTTTTTTGATGCAAGGAATCGAGTCCCTCCCGTCTAATATTCATATTTTCTGGCTCCTTCGGTTGCGATGCTGATGAACCTTTCAGGAGGACTTCACGATGAAGAGCGGACGGGTGTTGAAGAAGGGGACCGCGGTCCTGACGCTCAACCGGGCGGTTGGAATCTCGGAAGACTTTTTCACGAGGGGGGACGAGTTCGTGCCAGAAAGGTACATCGCGTGTAGATATGCGTGTATAGGCGTCCCTGGCCTAGCAGGCTGGGCGGGTGAGCAAGAAGCAAAAATATTGTGACGCTGTACCAACGATTTCAACTGCACAGTTCTATGTGGAATTACATAGGTCTGTTTTCATCTTTGGGGTTTCGCCCTTTTAGGTAGGAAGATATGTACCATGGTATGTACCCCTTTTTGTTTTCTTCTTGACGTCGCTGGTTTCCCTCTTCCACCGAAGGAATGATGATCTTTCATCCAAGGCGTGAGGAGTTTGGGTGGCGGAGGTGGGAGCATGTTACGTATCAGTGCAACCGCAGCGGTGAAAACGAGACTGCTTGCCGTGCCACGTGCCGCCTCTTTTTTTCGCGACAAGAGCGAACGTTGTCCGGGTTGGTTGCTCGTATGAGTAATGGTGGGTTTATGGAGTGCAGGTGCAAGACGTAAAAAACCACCGATCTCTAGCTCGCAACAGAGACAAAATAGCACGTGGTGTTCTAACAGCATTCTCGATCAACCCCTGATCGATGTCTCCGCCGACTCGTCCCGTGCGCCGCCGCAACAAACTGCTATTCATGCGTGCCACCGTCGAAACAGGTGGATCAGCTCCGAGCGTGAGAAAGCGCTGTCAGAAAAGCAGAGCACGTGGATCGGGAAAGGCGGCATCTCCCACGAGGAGGAGGCGTTTTTGTCGATGGGACACGGCCCAAGAATATGCCCCGGGCAGGTGGGTAACGTTTTGTGTCTTGGGTCGAGTTTGGGGGCGAGTACTGTTGAAAGTTGTTGTGATATTTTGGATCATGTGTGAATAGACGTTGTGAATGTACCGGAGCGTTGTGGAGACAACCAACAGTTGACAAGGACAGCAGGGTTGTTGGGGATGAAGGATTGTCTGATGGCTGACAATTGGCTCGATGGGTTTGACCGCATTACGACGACGACGACCACACCAAGTAACCGCATCAACAATGGCAACACAACAGCAGTAAATAGTTCGTCCCTCATACGAGAAGTGACGAAAACAGCAAACAGCGACGACGACGAGGACCACAACGACTGCATTTTTAGCAACAACAATCGACGCAACTGTGCTGTGTACCGCACGTGCTTCCCCTCTCACGATCGCGCAGGATATGGCCAAGGCAGAGGGGGCCATCATCATCGCCGCTATCTGCGCTCGCTTCGACCTCTCGCTCGCACCCGGTCAGGTGCGTCGTGTTTCAAAAGACCACCATTTAACCCGAAACGGCATACGAACCAGCACATTACGCCACCGCCCACTGCCCAAACGGCACAAGTGGTGACGCATTCTACCGAAAAGTGCGTGAGGTATTGAGCACTCCCTAGATCGATAGTTAAAAATCGATTGCTCCACAACCAAGAGGGTAAGAAAAGGAGGCTAGGAGAGGGTAAGAAAACAGACCGATAAACGTGCAAGGAAAGCTGTCGACGAGATACAGTATTTCCAACAACCACTCTGTTCGGCAATCGCACCCGGTTGGTCGTGGGGCAGTCGAGCCACGAACGTCGGTATGGGGCATGCGCGATGATTCGCACGTTTACGGCATCTAGCGGATGCAGGATGCAGCACCACTCCTTGTCAACAAAGTAGCAAACGCGGAATCTCTCAACTAAACATGCTCACGATTACCCCACCCCACCCCACCCCATGCCCTGATGTACCCCCCCCCCCACCCCTGCCCTGAAACACGCGCTTGGCGGACAGGCGGACCCCCCAGAGGAGTATTCTTCCTTCACATGCGGCCCTAAGGAGTTCAACATGATATTGACCAGGACGGCGAAGGACGAGTGATGGTTTCGTTGTTTTTTGTTGTTTCATTGCTTTGAGGAAGCAGGTTGGTTGGCCTGACCTGACCCTAGCCGCCCGACTCTTTATGGATATGAGGGGAGGGATGTGTCCGCTCGTTGCGGTCTGTCTTGTTTTGGAGGAGGCCCTCCCGCGCTCGACTACTGCGGTGTCGCCCTCGGTTGTGTTGTTCACACTGCCATCTCTACCTGTGGGTGTGTTCGGCGCGTACACAGCGTGATGACCTCAAAACTGAGGGAAAAAGGATGGGATTTTTGTAAGGCGGGGATTACCTCCGTATGCGGCACAGACAGGAGTTGTTGTATCACCGCTGTGTGTGCTAGATACGTGGGGAGTGTGTTTCGGTGTTGGGAAGCTTCGATGTCTGTCTGTTCTTCTCCTGTGCCCGCCTCCGTGTTATTTTTTGTGTTTTGGTTGCACGCATAGCAACTAACTGGTGATTTTTCCTTTTTTCATGAAGCTGCACGCATAGCAACTAACTGGTGATTTTTCCTTTTTTCATGAAGCAGTTCGAGCCGGGGTCTACATGCATACACGTATGCACATCATTACGTACTCTGTGGGTGATGTGGTGGGTAGCAGTGCGCTTGCTCTATAGGGTTGAAATGCGCGGGGATGGGATTATTGATTGATGGACAGCTGGCGGTCGTTGGTACATTTTTTGTCACATCAAGAATTTTGTCAAAAGCCCCTGGGAGGTACATTTTTGTCGCATCAAGTTTTTTGTCAAGTCTCTTGGAGTACTGTTCTCATCCTAGATTCGCGGGTGGCGCTGTGGTACATACTTGTAGCTGCTTTGTAAAGGTTCTGCGTGTGCGTAGCCAGCCTCTGATCTTGTTCTGATTAGCGCTGCCGTTAAGTTTGTGCGTACAGTGTGGGGAGAGAAGGCGGGTGGTTTGACATCAGCCGAGGTCCGAGGACATGATGGAGTTCTCGTTTTGGGTATTAGAGTTTCTGTCCTTATCATTCATCACGGATTTTGGCAAGTAACGACCCCTTCCTTGTTTTTGTTTCATTTCGCTCATGTGCGCTGTTTTTCGTTCGGTTTTGGGGGTGGGTCTGAAGTTGAGGGGTGGTTGTTTTTTTGGTTGTTCGAAACCGAGGATGGATGAGATATGTATCCGTAGTCTACATGTCATGCGTTGTGTTGCGGCTGTTTCCGATCCGTGTTTCTACTGGGCGAGAGTCACTTGTTGCACGTCCAATGGAAAAGGGAGAAAAAGAGGGCAACATCACGCAGCAGCAGCAGTGATGATGAGATGAACAAGTTGTTGAAGAATCGCACGTGTCTACTGCTGTTGTCTCTGGCACGTTTCGTAATGTAGGCAGGTGCAGTTCATGCACGCACCCGTTGTTGCCTTAAGTCATCTACCAAGCAGCGTGGAAATAAGTGATTTCGATGAGCTTTGAAAGGCTGTGACAAGTCAAGGAAACGCTGGAGACTTTCGTTATTCAAAATTCCGGCTCGACGCATTTGGTCGTCAGTGCTTATAGATACAGCACCGCACAGTAAGTAGCCTTCGTTTCAATGACAAACCAAGGAGGATCTTTGAAAGGCTGTCACAATCAAGGAAAAGTTTGAGACGTCGTTAGTCAAAATTAATTCCGGCTAACGCATTGATTGGTCTTCTTTCAGTGCCACTAAAGCTTCGATACAATGTGTCTCTCGGTTTCACTCTGTTCACAGCTGTTTTGGACCGGAATATACCCACTCGTACCCCCGTTTTGAGGCCATGTCTAAAACTTGGCAAGCCTGTTCGATCGACCTGCTAAAAGCGGTGTGGTGAGCCAGCCAGGTACGAGGAGAGCCCCCCAGTGCGCGGTCTTCTGTCTTCTATATAATATATCCCTGTTGGATCATGATCCATGATCCGTGGATAGGGTACATATACGCATACCCTCATTTGTCCGTGGTCCGCTCTTCGTTTGCCTCGCTCCAAAAAAAAAAAGCGGAGCAATATAACCACACCCACACACCCACACCAACTAACACCAACACACCAACATCTCTTGGATGAACTCTGTCTGGCGCAGGAGGAGAGAAGAGAGGTACTGTAGTGCTGCTGTAGTCAGCAGCTAGGCAAGCATGGAACGACGTTCGCGAGGAGCGTCGGCGATGGAGGAGTATCTCGAAAGGCCTCCCGACATCAACCTTTGGCCCCAGGGCAGGCAAGAGTGCCACCGCTGCGGGAAGAGGGTTAGGCTCTACTGCCCTGATTGCCTCATCCTCGTGGGCACGCCGGATGGGGTGGAGACTCCAACAGAGCTACGGCTACCGCTTCAGGTGGGGTGTTTGTGAAAGCGTGTGGAATGCGAGCTCAAAGCTCAGTTTTCCTTCGTGACCTGGAGCTGCTGTGTGCGGCACATGTTCACAGAAAGAGTGCCAGACGCAGCAAACGTTGTTCAGCAGCCAGGATGATGTCGTCCGAGGGTGGATCTGATATTCGGTCCTGCGTACGATAGTCGTGTGGATGGGGTATGTGGTTTGGAGGTAGCCGAGTTCGAGTGCCCCAAGTATTGTTTACTGCTGTTCAGGAGATTGTACGAGATACCATACCCCCTCCACCGATTTTCAAAGATCGACGACAGGATGCCAAGAATCATTTGAATATTTGAATGCTCAGTCCAGGGTGGGTGTTATCTTCCGCAACCTTCGGTACGCTATATTGTACTCTCGCCTTTCAACCTTTCAAGTACAGATAGTGTTGCGCTGCAGCAGCTTGAACAGCAGACCCGATGTCCGATGTCCAGTTTTCGCAGCAGCAGAAATCTTGGTTGTTCAGACTATGCGTACAATTTTATACTTGCACGAGCTGTGTTGGTGCTCAGCTGAGAAAGTGTGCGTGGAGAGCAAGATCCCCAGAGGTACTGCTGTAATGTAAGAGCTTGGTAACGCATGTATGTCGAAATAAAGAGACGGAACGGGCTGGTTCCGCGTACACCTCTTGAATGGTACACACGGGCGTGAAAAAACGATGTTACGAAGTACGACGGACGAACGGGAAATCGTTCCCCCTCCACCCTCTGACGCCATGATTACTGAAGGCCCCGGATGAGGGAAAACTAAAACTCCTCCAGCTGGCTTGGTCACCCTCATGAGATCCGTAAAATTATCTACCAGACGTCTATATGCACTTCAGAAAGGCGATTCAGGGAGAGTGAGGCCTCGGATATCGTCGCAGCGTCTCGAACAAATGGGATACGCTTGCTACAGGTGCTGTCCGCGTTTGAGGCTGTCGAATAACGACGAAAGAGCCTCGAACATCGCTCGCTCTACCCATGGCTGTCCCTGCGTCTTCGTGTCGTGCTTCACAACCTCTACCACATAGCCTTTTAACCTTCACCCTGTGGCTTTGCTGCTGAAGTCCCTTTTCATGTGCGCGTTTGTGTTTAAAGTCTCACGCCATTCCACTTACCAACCTCTTGTGCACGTACTGTACATGTACCGGTTCATATGTCGGTGGTGGCCCCCCGGCGCTAGTCAGGTGGATGTCGTCGTGACAGCTGAGGAGAGGAGACGCTCTTCCGGCGTGCACGTTGCCGTCATGGCCCCCCAGGTGACCATACCACGAACACCGTTGTCGTTGTTGTTGTTGTTGTTGTTGTTGTTGTTGCTGCTGCTGCTGCTGCTGCTGCCTGCCTGCCACCCGAGTGACCGCGCCCAGAAGGAATGATGTATATCCACGGCTTGACGAGCGATTACACGACTTGCGGTGGTGTCGTATTCCAGCGACTTCAGCACTATCGACTTCTGCCGGCTTGTTGTCTAGAACTCGGCACGCGCACTCTCCACTTGGTGTTGCACAGGGGCGAATGTGCCCGTCCAAGCAGCACACTTAACAGCGTGTCTCTCCCTTGCAATCCTTTATTCCTCGCCTGTAAGCACAACCAGCTCCAACTTCAATCAATCCATTCTCCTTCGACGCAGGTGTAGGCTACCTCGGCCGTTAGCTCACGACCAGAATATATTCTGGCTTACAGTCACCTCCGGTGGTGCTATTTTGCTCCATACTCTCCAACCAGTCCCAATTGGTCAAGACTTGATTTTTCGTCGAACTCCCTCCCTGGCTCCCTGACGTACTAATAGTCCGTTCGAGTCGTCTCCTTCGAGGGATCTGGCGGCGATGACCTCTCGAGCTGCAGCTACCGACCGGAGAGCGACTTCGTCGTGTTCCCGAGCGCGGCGTCGGTCTGTTGGTCCGAGCTATCGGAGGAAGATCTCGCGCGGGTGCGTCGGGTAATCCTCATCGACAGCAGGCAAGGACGTCAGTAGAACGAATTTTTCGCGCATGTTATTTTTGTCAATTTGAACAATGTTCAGCAGGCAAGGACGTAGGACGAATTATGAGGCTTTTATTTTTTCATGAATACAAGTGTTAAGAGTCCTGCTTGGTGTGGAGCAGTGGTCCACCCTGGTCTTCGTTGCGTGTAATACAAGTAATCAACATCAAACGTCGTATGTATTGCGATATTTTGAGTACTTGAAGTCCTCCTTGTCCATGTGTTGTTTTGAGTACTTGGTGTCCTCCTATTGGGCAAACGGTTCGTGTCGGAAGGAAATGATGGACGTTGAAACCGGAAAGTCGGCTTTGGGAGTCCCGATGACCGGAAGGACAAAAAAGATGAAAACACGGTAGCAAGTTGGCTGGGATTGATTGGGTTTGTCCAGGGTGTCAATCTTTCGCGAAGGTGTCGTTGAAAGTTGTAGCCGGTGGCGCGAACGTGAAGCATGCCTTTGCATCCAGGGTTCCGACCAGGGTTCCGAAGTGTTGACGAAGGTTACTAAGTACTAGGTGTGGTTATTTTCACTAGTTGAACTGGCTCAAATCACTGGTAGATCCATTTTGGTCTAAAGAAGTTATGTAATGCGGGAAAGCATTGTCATCAGTTGACGTAATTGGTTAGCCTAACCTTTTCAGGATCGTGAATGACCTCCTCGATTAAGACTTTCATCAAACAACCCTCCTCCCCAGCTCCCCCGGTGTTTGCCATCGGGGTTGGGTTTTCGTCGCTTGGCAACGACGTTGTTAAGCAAGCCCCCCCCCTCGGTGTTTGCCATCGGGATTGGGTTTTCGTCGCTTGGCAACGACGTTGTAAAACAAGCCAATTCACTTCGTGAACTCGGCAACCAGGTTACCGGTGTTTTTTTTACCTCTGTTTTTTTTTGGCGATAACCATAATGGTGGTCGAGTAGATCATGTTGCGGAGTTGAGAAACCTCACTCCGCGCAAGGGGAATAATCGCACCACGTTGTGTTAAATTGGTCAAGCATCCTCGAGGCAGTTACACAGTGCTTATAACTGTCTCTGGAAGTGAAAGCACCAGAAAATAAATTAAGTTATACGCAGCTGTCATCCGTACGCAAGGAAGTAAGCACAAGATGCCGAACACCCTTAGCAGGATGCAGCTCGCCCTTCATGCGACTCGCCGAATACCTCACGGCGCTTCGCGCTTGGTGATGTGAGAGCCTGTCCGGTGAGAACCCGGCGTGCTCCGTCCCGTTTTTGGATGGATGCGAGGTCAATGGTCTAACGACTACGGCATGCACGACTATGAGTACACACACACCCCTACAGCGGCGTCCCGACCAACCAACCTTCCCCCTACACCTCTCTTGCATTAGCGTGTTTTGCGAGTTCCGTTGCCCTTTATGGCCTGATCTCTTTACCAATTGATGGGGGATATTTCGGTGTTTTGTGCTGCTTGTTTCCACTCGCAGGTGGGTCAACACGGGTGCCGTAGTCGGCCACCCCAAGCTCAAAGGACTCCGCCACGTTCGCATCCGCGAACCCCCCGCCGTGAGCCAGTTTTGGCGGTGGCACACAGAAGGGGAGGGCCACATATGCACCGCAGAAGGTACGGAGTTGCAACTGCATCATCCCCCCCCCCCTGTTTTGTCGTGGCGAACCCTAGTTAAGGTCGGGACATGGGCACGAGGACTTACGTGAGGTCAGGACGCTTTTGGTCTCTTGTTGTGTCGCTGCCAACACTGTTTGACGTTTCTTTTTCTTGGGGAAGTGTTGGTCGCAAATTGTTTTGAAGTTTTGCCCATCGAACTTGCTCGGGTAAGATGTACCGAGCACCCGTGTCGCTCGCCCCCCCCCCCCCCCCCCCCCTGTTTTGGGGGGAAATAATTTTTTGGAGGGTTTTTGTCTCCTGAAAAAAAGGGGTTTGAAAAACCCCCGCTGGAAGGGCCAAAAAAAAAGGGCCAAAAAAACCCTGAACAAAGAGCCTGGCAAAGGACCCCACATCCTTTTGGGCCCAACTTAAAATTTCCCCAACCGTGGGGACAAACCCCTGGCCCCCCGGCGCCGGACCGGTCTTGGCCCCCAACTAAAACACCCCCCCCGCCGGGACCTACAAACCCCTGGCTACCCACCCCCGAAACCGTTTTGGGACAACTGAAACCCCCCCCCCCTCCGGGAAAAAACCCAACCCGTCCCCCCCCAACTTAAAAAAAAAAAAAAAAATTTTGAAAACCCCCGTAACCCGGAAAATTGTTTGAAACCCCCCCACCGGGACCCCCCCCGGGGGTTGGCTTATCCCCCTTCCCGGAGAAGAAACCCAAACCAAACAACAAATACCTTGGGGACTATGGAACGGAAAACCCTACCCCCCCCGCTGAAAACCAAGGGGCCGCCCCCCCCGGGGGGAAAGGGGGAGGGCGGTCCCCCCCGGCCCCAAGAAAAAGGC